AAGGAGAGTAGACACTGAGAGGAGGAATGGGAAGGCAGGGACCGCTGAGTGCAGGTCACTTTCCTGAACACATGTTCTGTGCCAGCCCCTGCCACCTGTTTGTTCTCATTTAATCCTGATGCCAACCTGGCAGCGCCCTTTTCTATCTTCTCTCTCTCTCTCTCTCTCTCTCTCTCTCTCTCTCTCTCTCTCTCTCTTTACACAAAGTCAAATGGCTAGATAGTAGCAAAGACAGGACTCAAAAGCTGTATCTGTCTGGTTCATGGCCACTGCTCCTTTTTAGGGGTGACAGGACCCTATGCCTCTCTTCAGGACATGAGCATAAATAGCACCTGCTTAGGAGCCCACCACGGCCTGGAGATGGCCAAGCACAGTGTCATTGAAGGAATGGAATGGGGCCGGTGTGCCAGGTGTCAGGGACTGCTGAGTACTGCACACCCCTGCAGCCCCTCCCCTGTCCCCAATCTCCATCCTTCACTCTGCTGTTTCCTTTTCCTCCTAGGGGTTCTTTCAGGCCGTCAGCATGGGATTCTGGGTCTGTTGTCCTGCCTTCAGAGACCTGACCTACACTTGAGTTGAGCCCTCTGCCCCAGCCTCCTGCCTCAGGCTATGCGGTGGATATGTTAGAAAGGATTGCATCTTGCTTTGGCCTCTGGCTCCATCTGAGTTCTCTGCATCCTGCAGAAACACCATTAATTGAGCAAAGATCAGCTGTCTTAGTGCTGTGCCTGAGCCACTCTGCATGAGCCTTCTTGTTCATGGCTTCCAGGGAGCAGCTGCCAGGTTCCTGCACGGAACAGACTTGTTTCCATGGGACCGGGTGCCTAGCTCACCATCCATGAGGGACTCAGGAGCAGCTCCTTGTTTCTTGTGCACAGATGTCTCGTGTCTTCCAGTTTACCACACCCCTCCCCCAGCCACCATCACCAAAACAAAACTAGAAATGAGCAGAACTATGTCAGTCCCCACCTCTGGAGTCATCCTGGATGCACAGCCATATCCACCTTGTTAGCAAATCCTGTGAGCTCACCGCTGAAGGTACAGCCAGGGTCCCACCTCTAATCGCTCACCCTCTCCTGCCGCCACCTGGGCTGGGCACCCACTCCCCCAGCGTTTTTGCGGTGGTCTGATCTGCGTCCCTGCTTCTACTGCAGTGTCCTCAGGCCACTCTGAGCACAACTACTGTGGGCCACAGTCCTCCTGCCCCATGACTGCCCCCAGGTCACCCTGGCCATGAGGCTGAGGAGATCTGACTTCATGCCCACACTCCTGCTGCTCAAAGGCCCAGCCCCTACACCTGAGGGCTCTTCCACCAACCCCTGTGACTCTCCCCTCCCTTTCCATGGGTCTTGGCTCACCTGCAGACCTCTCTCCTTTCCCGCTTTAGTGTCACAGTCGCCGTCTTCACACTCTCCACATATTTTCTTCGCTCTCCCCACCCCGAGAATGCAAGGAAGGCAAAAGGATTTTGTCTGTTTTGTCCCCGGAACAGGGCCTGTCACACCACAGGCCCTTTAGTACAGTGCAACTGCATAGGTGAATGAAGTTTCCTGAGTTTTCCTGCCTTGTTAGATAGATCTGGAGGAGCTTTTTTAATGTTTCTTCTGCCTTTAATTAAAAAATAAAAAGATTTTAGACACTGAAATATTCTAGGGAGAGGGGCTGGCAGATGGAGAGGAAGAAGGCAGAAGTCACACTCCTCCATTTAGGAGAATCTGAATGCATTCTGAATCTTCTCTTAGGTGCTCCTGTGTGAAGCCAGGCCCCAAGCATGGACCAGCATGTGCACACATTCTTCTCCCTTCTTATCCCAGAGCCCCCATGACCCACGTGGTGTCCCCCATGTTCCACTTTGCTATATTAGCACAGGTCTCTGACACAGGTTGTCTTTTGTTCATTAATTGTTTGAAATAAAAGCAATGTGAATATAGAAGAATGTTTTAAACCATTCAGAATGATACAGAAGTTCTACTCCCTTGAACCATAATTCCTTTTATCAGAAGCAGCCCTTGTTAATAGTTACGTATCCTTCTAGGGGAAAAAAATGCATGCATAACACCAACGTAACTACATATCCTTAAAAAATGAACATGAACTGGGGTACAGTTAAGTGTCTGCTTTTGGCTTGGGTCATGATCCCAAGGGTCCTGGAATTGAGCCCCACATCAGGCTCCCTGATCAGTTGGTAGCCTGCTTCTCCCTCTATAGCTCCCCCTGCTTGTGCATTCATTGTTTCTCAATCTCTCTGTGTGTCAAATAAATAAATAAAATCTTTAAAAAAAATGGATATGAACAGAATCATGGGAGACACATTATTTTGCAATTGATGAATATAATTTGGAAACCTTTCCGCATGAACCCATGCAGGTTACCTTGTTTCCAGTGACAGCTTAATGCTGCATCATACCGTGATGTGAATCCCCAATCCCCCATTGACAGACATTGGTTTCTTTCTGGGTTTTTGTTAGGACAACATTATAGTGAAGAGCCATGTATGTGTTAGCACATGTTGCAGTAATGCCTGTAGAACACCTACATGGCAGTGCATTGCAAGTTAAAGGGGCCTGGGCACTGAAAATTTTGATTGATATTGCCAGATGGGTCCATCTATTGTACTAGTTGTACTAGTGCATGCTTTTACAGTATGTTTTCCTCCCAACTTTTTATTTTGAAAAAAATATTAAACCTACAGAAAAGTCTTAAGTAGCAATTTAACAAATGAATACTCAGATATCCCCTCATCTAGGCTCTCTGATTATCATATTGCCACACACATTAGTTTGCTAGGGCTGCCATAAAATACCACAGGTTGAGTGGCTCGAACACCAGAAATTTCTTTTCTCCCAGGTCTGAAGACTGGAAGTCCCAGGTGAAGGTATGGGCAGGGCTGGATTCTTCCAATTCCCTTGTCCCTTGGCTTGTGGATGCTGCCTTCTCCCTGGGTCCTCATATGGTTGCCCTTCAGTCTGTGTGGCTCCTAATCTCTTCTAAGGACACCAGTTGTGTTGGATTAGAACCCACCCATATGACCTCATTTTACCTTAATGACCTCTCTTAAGACTTGTCTTCAACTACAGCCACATTCTGAGGTATTGGGGGTCAGGGCCTCAACAAGTGAGTTGGAGTGTCAACACGATTTGGCCCACACCACCACATTTGCTTCTCTTTATATGTCTTATATTAATACAAATAACAGGTTTATTTTATAGTAGCTGATGTTACATTTATTGCTTCCAATGTATTATAATTATGCCATTTATCATGTGGTTACTTTATATGATTTATAGCGGGTAATTTTTTTCCCTAAACCAATTGCCAGTGAATTACAGTCATTCTGGTACTGCAGCATGTGTTTGCTTAGAATGAGGGCATTCTCCTCAGGAGGTGTTTATTTTATACTGATGGGGACAGATTCCCCTAAGGCAGAAGCACAAATGAGCATGACGTGGCTCTGGTTCTAACTGGGAGCTTTCCCTCCAGATGGTTGTCCTGGCCCACTTTCATGTGCATCTCCTTCGCGAGTACCCGGTGAGACTAGCATACTTGTGGGGAGGAGGCCCCCTGCCTTTGGGAACCATTTGGGTGAGCAGAACCTCTTGGCCCCACCTCCAGATCCTTTGACGTTGTTGATATATTGGCTGTGTGATGTATCAACAGAATGACAGAGCTCCTTACAGTTAGTTCCTCTTGCTTTTTTAGCCTATCCCAAATGTGTCTCTGAACACAAGACCTGTTGTTTCTGTGTATAGACAGTCCTTGCTTTGCAAACTGCAGGCTGCTTGTATTCATTTAGAGAAGTAGGGTCGATCGATTTGGGCACCAAGTTCTCCCTCCCTGTCTACCCCTCCTCCTCCTGCACCCTCACTGGCAGCTCGGGGCTCCGCCAGAAGTTGGTTCTCGCCGCCCACGTGACAAGGAGTCCTCCGTTGGGTTTGCACTGGTGTGTCTTTTCCTTGGTACTTCTGTGAGGAGCAGCATCACGCATGCAGCACTTTCAAGGCTGGTGTTAGTGGCTAGACTCATGGAGACAGTATGCCTGAAGTTGTGTCTGCAGACCTGAGGTGAAGGTGTCTGGGTGGCCCTCTGCCATCTGAGGTCAGTCTGTTGCTGAATGAGCACCCCACACACCCCAGCTATTCTGTAGCGGTGTGCACCCCTGCCTGGTGCTGGGGCTCAGCCAGTGTGTTCTCCAGCCCCAGAAACCCACCATCTACCCAATTCAGAGCCATTTTTCTAAAACACAATTCCAGCCATGTCTTTGACTCTGCTTAGCCCTCTGCCTTGGCTTTTCCTTCCCCACAGAATTCGTTACAGACTCCTTAGCCTGGCATTTAAGACCCTCCATCATGTGGCTCCAGCTCAGTTTGTCTGCTGTGTTATGTCCCTGTACCTCTGAGCTCGTGGTGTGTGCTCTGTCCCCTCCCACCAATGAAGCCTTTCCTGAGCAATGCTTTTCTAGGCAGACGGGGGTGGTTCTCCTTCCCTTGTGCCCTCGCTCTACCTCAGACAGACCTGTCCTTTGGCACTTGCCTCACTGGATGGTTACATGCCTGCTCTCCTGCTGGACAGCTGCGTTTGTCTTTGTTTTCTCAGTGCCTGCTCGGGGTGGGCACCAAGTGAATACTTGGCAGGGCGGATGGGTGGCCGAATGGATCTCTCATTGGGTGTAGAACATATCCTGAAACTGGAAGTAACTGCATTCCACTTTGTGGGCTCCAGGTGCTCTCTGAGAGAACCTTGTCGCAAAGGAAACAAAAATACACTCTTCCACATGCTGTGAGGAGCTGTTCTTCCTAAGTGTCCAGTTCTGAAGAGGCTGTACTGGTCATCAGCAGGGCAGGGCCTCTGTGACTTTCACAGCTTATTGTATTTTGTCACACGTTGAAAGAGCAAGTAACTTACAGGGTCAAACCCTAAGTGTACTACTGATAATGCCACTTGTATGCGTTTTGCTTTGGTGTCACTCTGGCAAGCTACTCAATGTGTGTGTTTTCTTTCAGTCAAGCGCTTCAGAGAACCAAAGCACGAGAGACGGCCGTGGAGGATATGGTGCGTATTGAAATATTAACACCCTTCTAGAATGCTGTTGACTTTGGAGTTTGTGATGGGGGGGGTGGGGAGAAGGGGGTGCAGTGTGACCGATTCTGCATGACAAAGTGCTGGACTCCCTTAGTTGAATTAATCATCAGGAACTACGTCATATATGAAAGACTTCTGTTCCTCCAGATAACTTTGAGCTCTGCCTTTATCCTGTCATCACACAGCCACCCAATTTTAGAAAACAGGAGGTTGGACAGAAACAGTGTGTGCTGCAAGCTCCTTTAATTATGTTTCCTTGTTGTTAGATTTCGAAAAATCCTTGGGTTCTGTAGTCCGTATGTGTAAGCAAAACATTATCTCAATGTGGAGATTAGTCACATATACCATATCAATACTCCTCCCCCTGGAACCAGTCTTTCTGGTCCCAGGATGACCGTTCAGTGGCAGTTTTTCCTTCATAAAAGGGTGCTAGAACCTCAGACACCACCTTGAAAGACAAAACTCCAGGAAAAAGGAGACAGCCAGCTGTTCAGGACATCATGTCCACAAGGAGCTGACTCTCCTGGGCTGTCTTAGGCTTGCAGCTCTGCTAACAAAACAGCCACTTCCCTTCCAGAGAAGACCAGATAAATCAGTGTGCTGAAGGCGCCTTTCCAGCATTTGGAGCACATGCTCGATTGACCTTCAGTGTGTTATTTGTGAATTTGGTCTTTCTTATTTTCATTTTCCCCAATCAGTTTCTCTTGAGTCTGGATATCTCACTTGGGCCGGGGGACCCGGGGAACATCTGGAATTGGGGTGCTCCATGGGTCACATGTTGCCCTCTGGGGACTTCTACTTTGCCATTATTTTAGGAAATGATTTTCAAGCTTCAGTCCCAGGGTTGATCTAGATAATCTCTAGGGTCTCTTCAGTCCTGAGACTCTGTGGCTGATGCCCCATGCCTGTGTACCCCTTCTTCATCCCCTTTAGTGCCCCAGCCCAAACCTGGATGCCCAGGCTGGGAGGCTGAGAGAGACATCTCTCAGCCACAGAGCACCAGCGGTCTCCAGGTGTTCATGGCAGAGGAGAAACTAAAGGCCAGCTGTAGACAGGACAGCGGGGTGTCCCCAGAACTAACATGCTTGTTTTTCTTCTTTATTGAAACTCCTGCCGTCTAGCCCAAGGGTTGGCAGACTACCACCCACGGGCCCAGTGTGGCCCACTGTCCATTTTCACCACTGATGTGTCACAGGACTGGCAGGGCATGTGGCCACTTTCACACTACACTGACAGGATGAGCAGTGGCTGCAGAGCCTAAGATACCTACTCTCTGGCCCTTTACCAAAGCAGTTTGCCCACCTCGATCTAGCCCAGCGCTTGAGTGGCTGCAGCCAGAAATCTCTAGGGCTTTAGCACAGTGCTGGATCTGTGTGTCTTGTTAGGCTTGAACCACGTTTAGCTCTGAGGGACGTGGAACTGGGGCTCTTTAAAATAGAGGCGCCTTGGACTTCATCGCAAAGCTGTGATCCAGCATTTCATTTTGAAATGACAAAAAATGAAAAAGTAAACGCACCTAATTTAAATATGTGTTCTAAATCAGTGGCGTCTTAGGGATTTCAGATGCAGTGTGTTATCAAAGGTTTCGAAAGGTAGCCAAGATGCCAAGCCTGAGTTAGTACTGACGCCGAAAGAGGTGACTAGGAATGGGAAGGTTGAGATCTCTCCCCAGTGGCTTTCTTCCTGTTTCAGACTTCTCATTTTCCCCAAATTGGATATAACCCTCCTGTCAGTGTGATAACAAGTGCTAATCCTCTTTTGTACAGGTTTTTAGATACTTCCAAACAAGCCATAGGAATGCTGTTCATCCACTTTGCAAATGTGTACCTAGCAGATCTTACTGAAGAGGACCCTTGCTCACTGTAAGTGGCCCATACTGGAGGACAGACATCACCCACCCCTCCACTGAAACGTAGACTGACCTCGCTTTCTGCTGTCAGTCACGTTCCCTCTGGCTCTGTGCTCCCCTAAGAGACCATCCTCTGTGTGCTGCCCATGGGCTCAAATACACAGCTGTCAGTGGGCCTTCAGGGCTTTGCTGGCTGACAGTCGCCCTGCCCACTGGCTTTCTGCTCATCCGAGCTCTGGCCCTGGGTGTTCTAGTGCCCTTATGCCTCCCAGCAGGGAGCAGCCCCTGGCAGGGCACCGTAGTGCCGTGAAGGAGTGTCCCTGCTAGAACGGGAGACATGGGGGTTTTTCTGTGGTGCCAGCCACTCTGGGTCACAGCCATAGTTGGCCACCATTGATCTCTTTGACCTTCAAACTGGGTTCTGGCTCATCACTGCAGTGCGCCTTCCACACAGCCCCTCACAGTCTGACTGAAAACCCCAAGTGGTGCCTCTCTCAGCAGATTTAGTGGGAAAGGAAACTCACCTGCCTTCTGGCTCCATCTCCTACCCTCCTGGCTCAGACTTGTTGCTCCAGTCATACTGTGCTGGTGGCCTTCAACCCCACCAGCTAGCTGCCCTCTGCCTGGAACCCCACCCCCACACTCCTGTCCAGTCCTGATCTGCCCTGTCTTTAAAAGAGTGGGGCAGAAGGCTGATGAATCCCTTGCCAAGAGGCTTCGTGTATATTTAAGATCATTTGGACTGGAAGGTTCTTTGAAGCCTCCTTTTTTTGGTGACTGTATAGATATAGTCCAGGCCTGGATTTCAGAAGGAAGTTATAAAGTCTCCCTGCTCAGGATCTTTCTCTAAGACCTAGATAGGTTGTGATCTGTTTGGATGTTTGTGTGTAGTCCCAAAGTAGGGAATTAAAGAGGTGATCCTCCTGTAGGGGGGATGGTTAGGAGAGATTGTTGTCCTTCCAACTCTCGAGCCCCCCAGCAGGCTGGAGTCATCCTCTGGTGAATCGTCTTGATATTGTTGATCAGGATAGACTAAGAGGCAGGGGCTGGCGCTGAAGGCACTAACCTAACTCCTGACAGCCACACTAACCTAACTCCTCGGCCACATGGCTCTCCCCTGCAGCACCTCCATTGCCTGTCTACAAAAAGAAGATGAAACAGCTCTAAGGTCACTGACAAACTGAATCACAGCCAGGATGGAGAAGGGGCTATTGACAGATCTTGAGTGCTCAGCCTGGATGAGAAAAGGCCCTAGGTGGAGCTTGGTATGGTGAAGACACTTGACTGAGAGGCCAGACTCAGCCCACTTTGCTCCCCTGTCCTGTGTGCCCCACCAGATCCCCAGGATGCCTGTGAAAGTTTCAGAAGTTGATTATATAAGCACCACTGGAAACCCTAGGGTCACTTCTCTGGGAGTTAACGGTTCAGTTGGAGATGTTGTTAAGAGTTAGGAAAGGTGTAAGAGCCCCAGCACTGGGTAGAAGAGCAGGTGGTGCTGGGGGAGTAGAGGTGGCCCCAGCCCTGAGGAAGAGTGAGTAGGCCCTGGGATCTGTCCCAGGTCCTGCCATTCTTGTCTGCCCTGTGACTTTTTACAGGTGGAGGACAGGCTGGGCTGGGCTGGGCTGGCCTGGAGGCATCCTGGGAATCTGCAAACCAGGAAGGGAAACCAGCTTCAGCTCAGGAGAGCAGAAATTTAGAGAGGGGGATGAGCTGCCCCCTTTGGCTGCTGGGGTCCCGTGGGCTGGGTGCTCTGCTCCTTGTTCCATCTGGACAGCTTTGGGAGGGAGTTAAGTTTTTATGACATCCAGGGTTCTGTGACTCTGAGGGGTAATGATTCAAACACATTTGTATAGTACCTACTATGTGGCAAGTCTTGTTCACATGTATTATTTGATTTTGATAACAGCCCTATCATTTAGATACTTCGGTGATCCTCATTTTACAGCTTGGGGAACTGAGGCAGAGAGAGGGCATAACTTAAATTCACACATCTCAATAGTGTTGGAGCTGGGGCCTGAAGCTGGCCAGCCCACCAGCCTCATCTATTTTGGGTAGAGTCTGCACCTCCTTTCCTGGTCACAGTAGGCGTAAATATTTGGTGAGGAAATGAATGAACTGATGTGTGTTTATATCAGGTGTTCTTGTTACTTTCAGGGTGAGCCTCAGATGTGAGAACCACTTGAAACCAATTAGATATGAGAGTCTGAGAGCAGCTTAGCCCGGGGCCAGCTGTGAGCCTGGCGAAACTGCCTCTGAAGCCGTTTCTATGCCTTGGTCTCTGGTCTGAGAGTGACCCCTTGTGATGTTAAAGAGGAAGGGCAAGCAGGGGAAACCGCTGTCCGCCCAGCTGGTTCTCTCACCATTCCAGAGCAGGGGCTTGCTCCCTCCAGTGACTGTGTTGCTGTGCATGTTGCCAAAGCCTCTGTCTTTGGCTGGGGGCTCTGAGTCTGCATGAAGTGTCTCAAGCCTCAGCAACTGGAAGGCATCACAGTTGGTCTTTGGCATCTGGAACTACTCGAGCTTTCTGAGCCACCTGGCATCCCGAAGGCTGGTATCTGACCCAGTGACTGCCTGTCTCCTGCTTTGTCTGGAGAACTGGTGCTTATGGTCAAGATGCCCAGCAAGTTCTGGGGACAGGGCCCTTGAGGGAGGGCCTTTCCTTGGTGAGGCAAGAGATGTGTGTCAGACTCATGGAAATAGGCCTTACAAGAACACGTGATCAAGGTGGGGCGTGCTCTACTGACACTTCTCTCCTTCCATCATCCTGCCTTTTCCATGGGAGTAAAGCTCTCTCCAGAAATACTCACACTTGCCTCCAGGGCAGGCTCTGAAACACAAGGATGAGCAAGGGCCACAAGGCCCTTCCCTCTTTGGTCTAAGAAACCTCAGAAGCTATGTCCTGAACTACCCTGGAGCAGCACTTCCTTGGGGCTGTGGGTATGAACAGCGTCATGGAGCAGATTTAATGAACTAAGATCTGTTTCCATATTGACTTTTTGGCTGTTTCCAGGTGCTCTGTCTTGTGTCAAGGCTTCATTTGGTAGGACCCTTTGAGATCTTTATGTCTTGTCTGCTCCTCCCTTAAGTTCTTTGACCCCGATGAGTGTCAGCATGCTAACATGGGTAGGCCTTGCTGGGGCTCCTGGGAGTGAGCCCTGCAGGCTCTTGCACAGGCCCCTCCCCCCCAGAACAGGCCCAAGTGCCAGGTCATCAGGCTTGAAGATGGCCCTGGTAAGCACACAGGGCTGGGCTTAGGGGCCCTTGCTCCCTGGAGGGTGCTTCCTGACAGTACTGCTGTGTCCTCTTTTCCCAGGTACCTCATCAACTTCCTCCTGGACGCCACCGTGGGCATGCTGCTCATCTACGTGGGTGTGCGTGCTGTCAGTGTCTTGGTGGAGTGGCAGCAGTGGGAGTCCCTGCGCTTTGGCGAATATGGTAATATAGCATGGACATTGGATGGGGCTGTGGAGGGGCCTTCCAAGGGCTTTGTTCCTTGCCCCATTCAGTTCTCCAGGCCTATGAATTTGAAGGTTCAGAAGCTGGTGGCTGTCTCCTCTGTGTAGTGGTGGGGCTGGTTCTGGGGCCTGAAAACCATCCCCCTGCTGGTGTCAGAATGCCACACATCTGTAGTATGTAGGTGTACATTTCACTGCCATTTGATGGCAGGAGCCAAGAGACCCTAGACGCAGAGAGGGGCACAGCATTTGCCTCTGCCAGCAGAGGGCACTGAGGGCCCCACCTACAGGCTGTTAAGGCACCTCACTCTGCCAAGCTTCTCCCCAAGCTCCCACGACCTGCCCAACTCGTTAGAGAAATGGAGATGGCTCTCAGTTTGGGAGATGCTCAGTAGGAAGGTGGCCCTCTTTCTGCTGCGTGTCTCTGTGCTTGTCTTGTCATTGGGCCATCTCGCTACAGGGGCTGCAAGTCGAGACTGGAGGGTCCATCCCCCCACTTCGGGGCTCTTTACTGTCTCCTGACTAGAGGCTGGCCTCACCAGCATTGGGCACATACAGTCACCAGGAATACCATGTCCATCCTCACTCGCAGAGATACGCCTTAAAACGGGTGTCCTGTGGGTGTTGGCTCATCTTTGACCCACTCCCCTCTCTTCAGACCCCTGGGACAACAGCCTAATTAGGAAGCTTCCCTCACACTCTCAGAGCCACAAGTGCATTGCCCCCTTTACTTTGTACTCCCAGAGAAGCGGCTGGCTGTAGCCTCCACAGGGCTGTGGTGGGAGTGCCTTCTTTAGGCCTTGCCATGCCCTGGGGTAAGGGGCAACGACAGGTCTCTCCCACCTTCACACCTGGCCCCCCTGCTGTCTGGGAGCAGGAGCTCCTGGTCTCAGTGGGGACAACATCAGTGGGGTCTCGGCCACGGAAGGACACCCAGGATAGGAGGGAGGGAATTCTAGGTCTGCACCTCCTTTCCTGGTCACACCTTCACAGAGTTCATGCCTCTGGGTCAAAGGGCTGCTCACTCCTAGATGATTTAAGACTCACAAGACACTAATGTAGAAAGGGAGCTGATCAGTGGAGCTGGCTATGAGTGCCTTGGGTATTTCTAGAAATCTTAAGTAACTGTCTCCTTTGAAGGGAGATGAACTCAGGGGAGGGCTTTTCTTAGTCTTGTTATTTGATGCCTGATGAGTCACAGACTTAAGATAGTGTCTGACACACAGTGTGTGCTCATGTGACTCGAGGGGAGGCTTCTGAGAAACCCCGAGTCATGAGCCGTCAGCTTGGAGGACACATGTGGACCACAGCGGTGTCATCCTCACTTACAGGCTAGGTACCCAGAGGGGTTAAGTGACACTAGAAGCCAGTGCACAGCTGAGGGTGGGGGTGGGCATGGCTTTATCTGCTTCCACCTCTAAGACCATTGCTTCTTATGCTTGCTATTGAGGTCTGTCCTGGAAGGCAGTGCTCTCGACTCAGTTATAGTGACTGGTGCTATGGGAGATCCACCCACAGCCAGTTACCTGGCAGCCAGAGGGAGGGCACATCTGGTCCTGGAGCACCACCCATTCCCACCATACTGGGTTTGCATCCCCAAGAGTACATTAGGAGGAAGAGGCAGTGGTAGTTTGAGCCTCTTGCTTCTGTGCCACCCTCATCTTCCCACCACTGCATTTAGGAACCATAGTCTTCAAACCAGGGTGTCTCCGGATGTCCATCCTGAGTCCTCCCTTACTGGGCTAAGGAAAAACAGCGCACCGATTTCTGTTTCTGTCTGTGTTCTTCTTTCCTGTCGCTGCTATAACAAATTTCCACAAAATTAGTGGCTTCAAACAACAGATTTCTTACCGTATAGCTGCATAGTTCTGATATCCCACATGGATCTCACTGGCTAAAATCAAGGTATCGGCAGGACTGGCTCCTTCTGGAGACTCTCACTCCTAGAGACTGCCTGCACTTCCTGATCATGGCCCCTTCCTCCCCCTGAAGGTCCAGCAGGCAGTCATGCTCCTGTCACATGGTATCATACTGACCCTCCAGCACCTCCTTCCAGTGCCCTCGTGAGTACGCTGGTCCAGGTGGATACTGCAGGATACTCTCCGTTAGAGGCAGCTAGTTAGCAGCCATACTTCTCCTGGACCATGTTACCTAACGTATTCACAGGTTCCTGGGACTGGGATGTAGATGTCTCTGTGGGGGCCATTATTCTACCTACCACACCTGTTAACTGGCCTGTCTTCTTGAGGCAATATTTCCATGTAGGGCCCCGTAGCTCTCTTCTCGGCTAAGTAAAGAAGAAGGGCTTGTTTTCTAGGTGCTTCCTTTGTCCTTAGAGGAGAGGATGAACAACAAGCCAACAAGCCCATGGGACTTGGGGAATAAGCCACACAGCTCTGAGGGGTGAGACATCTCCAGGTGATAGGTGTGCTTGCAGTCTGGTGACCAGAGAGCTTTTCACTACTCAGAAGCCCAGAAAGTAGGGTCTGTGTCCCATAGGCACCAGTGGTCTCTAGACTTTGCTCCCTTCCTGAAGCCTTGGGAGACAGACATGTACCATCTGTCATCCCCCATCGCATGTACCATGCGATCTCCCCTTAAAAAGCTGTTCAACACAAACAAAACCCCCATCTACCTAAGGTGGTGCAGTGTGGTAAGGAGCAGGACACGTTGGGAATGCCTGTGATGATGAGACAGTGGGAAGGTCTGAAAGGTTCTCCAGTGAGACAGACCTGAAAAGCAAAGCAGCTGACACATTCACCCCGCAGGGGCTGCCAGCGGTCTGGATGCAGCAGAGGGAGCTAGTGTGGGAGCACATTTACAGAGGACTTTTCTTCTTTTTTTTTCACCATGTTTTTTACCTTATTAAAGCAAGTAAATGAAAGAGGATGCAGCTGCAGCTGAGCTGAGGCGCTGATACTCAGCCATGCGCTGGGCAGCACAGGGGGTGCGGACAGCCTGTCCCCCTTCATCGGTCATTTTCAAACCTAAGGACCGATGGAGCAAACACTTGGAGCAGACAGGTTTTCTTTTGACATGCAGTTTGGACCCTTGGTCTGTTTCCTTGAAACACGCCAGTCCCCATTCAGAGATTTTCCTACTAATACATTCTATCTCCAATCTTAATGATTTTTAACAAATACTTTAATCTGTTATTTTTGAGAACTTTTCTCAGTAAGGTCACGTAGTGAACTGAAAGGATTCCAGCACTCCCTTAAAAATCTGGCTAGGAGAGATAGTGCTTCTGAAGTGGTTTTTTTGGCTCAGATGTGTCCAATCCGAGAAGTGAAAGTAGACAGGACAAGCTTAGAAGAAGCCCTGATGGCTTTCTGCATGCTTTCTGCACCCTTCTCCCGAGGTTTTCCAGAAAAGGGAATGGCCTGGTGGTGTGTCCATTACAGCTGCATGAAGGCATTCACTTGCGTTTCCACTGCGTAGAGTTGGCAGGCTCTGGCTGGGCTGGGGCCTCCTCTGACACCCATGTCTGGGCAGGGATGGCTACAGAAACCGTAGCATCAGAGCCCTCTCTCTGGGCCAAGTTCTCTTCTCACAACCTAGATTGGGGCCTTTACCTCCCCTGAAATGCTGCCCTCCACCCTCTTTCCTGGCCAGCAATGGTCAGACAACTCCAGTAGGGCTTCCAGAGCAGGCCACCGGGGCGTCCCCACCATCAGCCCTTCCCTCAATCTCCCACTTTGGGGAGGCATGTGTGTCTCCCTGGGGGCCCATCCCATGCATTCTGCCTGTCTCTGAGGATATAGATCTGTCCCTGGGGTTGGTCTTTCACCCTGCCTCTAGTCCCTATTGAAACATTCTGGAGGCCCTCCAGGGCCTGCATGTGCCCCAGCCTGGACTATTAGGTTTCTCCATTTCTCAAGCACAGTGACTGATGGGGTCACAGATGGACCTCTGTCACAGCCCCAAGGCACAGTGCCTCCTCTCCTGCCTCTGCCATGAGGGCTTCCTGCTTACCTTCCCTGTCCCCAGCTAAAGCTGTTTTGGGCTACCCCATATAGACACAATCGGGGTCTGCTGTCAGGGCTGAGAGCAGCAAGAGCAGCCGGGGAGGGTGGTTCAGGGTAGCAGATGAGCAGAGAGGTGGTGTGCTGCCTTTGTAGTCACAGACATCAGCCAGCCTATGGTCAGAGGAGAGGATGGATAGCTTCACGGTCACTGGAAAAATCAACATCCGATAATAATAGCACTCACTTCACACAGCTCTGCCAGTGGAGAGAAAGAGCCAGCTCTCTGAGCCCCAGCAGTGAGCACTTACTAACTTTAGTCTTTTTAATTGTATCTTAGAATCTCTTGAAAGAAACACCACTGTGCTATCTCCAAATTAGGAATCTTCTGATTTTGTCTGAAACACCCACCCGCATGTGTCTGTTTGGGTTGAAGTGATTCTGGGTGCATCAGGGGTCCATGAAATGGCTCTAGAGCCAGGGCTCTGGTGTGGGCTGGGAGCCTGAGGGCTCACGGGAGGGCATGGGGCAGGGACATGGAATCGGATCTTGGTGTCTGCACCCCGCGTGACTGCGCACCCACTGTCCCTGCAGGAGACCCTCTGCAGTGCGGAGCCTGGGTTGGGCAGTGTGCTCTTTACATCGTGATCATGATTTTTGAAAAGTCTGTCGTCTTCATCGTCCTCCTCATACTTCAGTGGAAAAAGGTTTGCCTCTTGTCCCTTCTTTAGCAGCTCCCTGGGATGCTAAGCAAGACAGTACTTAGTACTTATTCCCTTACCACTCACACACCCCAGCTTTACTGGAAAACCAGATTCCTTCTTTCTTTTTCTTTTTTTTTCTCCCCCCACCTCCATGAATACAGTCTGGATTCTGTGTGGCATGGCAGCCTATTGAGAGCAAGAACTTGGTTTTTCACTTAGCATCCATCTACTTGAATCATGCAAATGCCTGCTCTAGGTTAGGCTTTGGGATACATAAAGGCAATGGAAATAAGAGTCCTTCCTCGCAGGTTGCATACTAGCTGCTATAGTTTTTAGGCCTCATGACTATAACTGTCAGGAGGGTGTTTTCCTCATCTGCATATGTCCTCACACCCCTCTCTTGGCCAGTGGTTTAATGGAGCCTTTTGCTGCTGCAGGAAGCAGCTGGTCACACATTCCCAGGGTTTTCTTGGCCCTGCCCTCTGGCCATGGTGCTGTGTAGATAGAAGCCTCCACTGCCCATTTCATCCTAATGGTCACATGAAACCAACCAAAGAGCCTTTAAGTAGCTCAGAACTTGGCTTTCTTGGGTTTTATTTGTGTCCGAGTTTTATTTATTTATTTATTTATTTATTTATTTATTTATTTACTTACTTACTTACTTACTTACTTACTTACTTACTTACTTATTAGTTTTATTTTTTAAGAAAATAAACCAAAGGGAACCCTGGGTGGCGCAGCGGTTTAGCGCCTGCCTTTGGCCCAGGGCATGATCCTGGAGACCCGGGATCAAATCCCACATTGGGCTCCCGGTGCATGGAGCCTGCTTCTCCCTCTGCCTGTGTCTCTGCCTTGCCTCTCTCTATCTCTGTGTGTGACTATCATAAATAAATAAAAAGTAAAAAAAAGAAAAAAAGAAAATAAACCAAGGCTTTTCAGGGCTGTTGTCCTTCGGGAGGTGGTTGAGATACAGGATTTGTGTTAGAACATGGCCTGGCACCTCATTGCTAGTGTCTATAATGAACATCCATCGACTTCATTCCCCCCAACTCCCCGAAACCATACCAGCCCTGCCCTCTGCGCCTCCTGGTGGGTGGGCCCTGCTCTGCTCGGTGGTTGTAAGTGCACTACACTTCCCATGTGCACGGCACTGGGAAAGCCACTAAAGCTCTCACTGTTCCAAGTGCTCTCTCCAGGTCTGTCCCTTGTTAGCAGTCATACCTGGGGGTGGACTGTGTGGCCCTGGGTGTGAGGTGCTGTTCCCATCAGGATTCTGGGGAGGTGTTGTCTAAGCTAAGCCACCCTGCCCAGGGCCTCATGGGTGATTTGTGTTGCTGCCCCCCGACCCCCAGGCACCTTCTCTGTGATCTCTCCCTACCTCACGGAGTCTGCTTCTCTTTACAGGTGGCCCTATTGAATCCCATTGAAAACCCAGACCTGAAACTGGCCATCGTCATGCTGATCGTCCCCTTCTTTGTCAATGTCAGTGCCATGTTGCATTTTACCCCCGTGTGCTCTCTGCCTTCCAGTGTCCTGTTTAAAGTTCTGAGTCTGACAGAGAAAGCTCCTCATAGCCCCCAGGCCCCTCCCCACCCCAGGCCTGGAAATGGTAGGATTGCTTCCTCAGCAGGCAGGTCCCTGCTCTAAGCCTCCTGTGCAAGATGGAGGATCCTAGGAACTTTGTCTTGCCCTCCCTGCCGGGGGACCTCCCACCCAGGAGGCTCTCCACATGCACCACGAGCGACTTCTAGATCAGGATGTAGGAATTCACTCCTTTTATCCCTGACCCCAGAGCTCCAAGAGAAACCCCTGAGTACACTGGCTAGAAAGAAGTAAGAAATAGTAAGAAGGAACAATAAAGTCACTTGACGCTGACCATCATGGTAGTGTATGGGCCAGCTGCTCAGCCTGTGCCAGGAGCCCAGAAACCTTGCCAGCAGCTAAGGCAAAAGCCCAAGACAGGCTGTCCCTATCAGTTACCAGCACTCAGGGTGAAGAGGGTCAGGATTTTCCTGCTGGTTCTCTTTGATAGGAAAGCGGAAGCAAAGGACATAGATGGTGGGAATCTCTTTGTAAGCTTGTTAGAGAGCAGGGGGGCTGGATGAAGTTTTTCTTCCCCTTGTTCTGGGCATGGTAAATCTGGAGCATGTGGGAAGAATGGCAGTGGGGTCTGCTCTGCTTTGACGAATGGCATATCCCAGAGTAACATGCACATTTCCTCCCCACAGGCTTTGATGTTTTGGGTAGTGGATAATTTCCTCATGAGAAAAGGGAGGACGAAAGCTAAACTAGAAGAAAGGGGAGCCAACCAGGACTCGAGGAATGGGAGCAAGGTCCGCTATCGAAGGGCTGCATCCCACGAGGAGTCAGAGTCTGAGGTAGGGCCGAGCCCTTCTGCTGCACCCTGACCTGAGGACGTCTCTGGCCTCCATTTACCTCTAGTCCTCTTAATACTCAGCAGTGGGGGAAGAAGAGGCTGACCACCTCCATCCAGCAGGGATGCATTCCTGCGGGCCCTGGCCATCCCACAACAGGGAGGTGGAACACCCGATGGGGCAGCAGGGACTTGCCTCCGACAGTATGGACCTCTGCCAGTGGAGGAGGACAGAGAAAAGAGGGGCTGCTGTGTTCCAGGGAAGCTGACAAGGATTCTCATGGGCCTGATCATTGCCTTTAAGCGTTAAGGTGTTTAAATCCCTGCCTACCACTGCAGAGCAGCAGAAGTGTTGGCTAAGCCCGCTAGAAACTTCTAAAACATAGGTAACCTCACCTCCCCTTATTGTCAGCTCTCCTGAGTTCAAAGGTTGGGACCTCAGGGAGACAGAAGGTCATAAATCGGAGTGTGGAGCAAAGTTATGCTCTCTGGGCAGCCTGTACCTCTTCATGCTGCAAGGTGAGGCCAGGCTGCCTCCTGAGAGGCGGCCTCAGCTTTCATGGTGTGCCGAGCTCTGCAGTCAGGATGGGGCTGCAGAAATGGCTGAGGTAATGTCTTCCCTGAAAGACCTTCAGACTGGATGAAGGTGTCTGAATAGCTCCTTATAACATTGTGTAATCATTCTGATGTTGAGGCATTAACAAAGCCCTGTGAGGACCCTGAAACAGCCTATTTGACTCCTGGGGGCACCCTGGAGGGAGTTTTGAAATCTGAATAGAGGAGCAGGACAGAGGGTAAACCCATAACTTCTCTATATGTCCCTGAGATCTGGCGCGGGGCCCATCCTGTCATAACAGACTGGCAAACGTTAGATGAATGACAAATAGCAGTACAGGAAGAAGCAGCCACTCAGCAGTCATGGCCACATGGGGTGACATCTGGGTTTGTGAAACATATCATAGCCATAGCAGCATGTGTCCCATAGGGTAGGATGAAATGACATGAAAAGAGGTACCAGTGCTGGGCAAGGTGCTTTGTGATTGAGGTGTGCCTATATAGGCAGTAGATAGGGAGCCAGAGAGAAAGTTTAATCAGGGACCCACCCAGGGAGTGGTCCAGAAAGAGGTGGTACAGCCATCCTGCCCCTGGGAAAGAATGAGCTCATGTTCCCCTGCACAGATACCCCGTCCCTGTCCTTTCCTGATGCTCAGAGGTCTGCAGAGCCAGGCAAGTGGCGCAGCAGGTCGGCAGTAAATGAGTCTTTGCCCTGGATGCCCTTGCTCCACAGCTGAGTCATTCCAGGGGATCAGAAAAGTGCAGGGCTCCCATGTGTCTTCACAGGTTGCAGAGTTGGTTCAAAGCAGCTGCTCTGAAATCTGCCTGCCTCATGTATGCTCTACAGATGTTTTCTTTTCCTTTCGAAAAGAACTCTTCAGTTTGCTTTTGCTGTCTATACGGCAACCTCAAGGACCTGTATCACCCTGTGTCCAGACGGGGTTCTTTGCCAGGATGACTTAGGGTGTGGCTCGTTGCTGAGTCTCTTCTAACTGGGGTTCCATCACAGCTGGAGGTTGGATGGAGAAGCGGGGAGCACTACAGAGGGGCGGGTATGTCAACTTGGTGCTGGCTTTAGTAGCCTGTGAATATCCTGGGAGTGAGTGATGTCTGGGTGGTCTCACTCTGTAAAGTGGCCTCCCCTTCACCCTCTCCTAAAGAAACCTGAGGCTCTGAGACCTTCTAGAGGCATTAGCACCCTGTTGCCAGGGTGGAGGGAGGGCAGAGGAAGAAGGCCCCACTGGGGGTGACTTAGGCCATGCCTCTCCACCACCCCAGATCCTGATCTCAGCCGATGACGAGATGGAGGAGTCCGATGTGGAGGAGGACCTGCGCAGACTGACCCCTCTGAAGCCTGCGAAGAAAAAGAAACACCGTTTTGGGCTGCCCGTATGACACACTCCTGTGTCGGGGTCAGGTTTGGGGGCCCAGCCGGCTGCTGGGTCGGCACGTGGCGGCTCCGCAGTGTCCTTCCTTCCCTCCTCTCTGCCCCTCCTCTTCTACCTCCACCCCTCTTGCTGTCTCTGCCCACTCCCAGACGACTGTGACTTGACAGAGGGAGGACGGGCCAGCGCCGAGGGGTTCAAGGCAGCCAGAGGTCCCCAATCAGTTGCACTACAAACACTGACCAAATATGCAAGCGAGGCGTTTTGTTTGTCTGTCATTGTCCCAAACAGTGTTGCAAGGGACCCAGAGGCCCCATCCCGTGTCTGGCTGGGTGGCATTGAGGAGGAAAACCAAACGCACACGCAGACCAGGTAGAGCCTTCCCCTCAGGCTCTGGGAGTGTGAAGACGTAACACATTTTGGGCTAAAAGTCACTCATTGACCAAGTTGGAACCGCAATGCTTTCTTACTCAAAATGGCTTTGTAACTACTGATTTCTAAAGCCGGTTTTATGAGCTGTCACAGTGTTAATGTTTTTTGAGTATGTGTTTATTTCCTATGGGACTAATGGGCAAAACATAGATTTTTAAGTCTTCCGTATGCTGTTGACTTTTATATTTTTAAGTTATATTTTCATACTATTGTATTTAAGAACTCTTTTTAATCCCCAAAGAAATGGGTCTGTCTGCCTTCTGTGGGATGTGAACTTGCGGGAAGAAAAAGTCGGGAGCTTTTTATTTGGAATATTTTTAGGTAACCTGCGGTAAGATGAGGGAAATGGTCCCAACAGGAAGGGAGATAAGCCCTTACCTGAAAAGAACAAACCCAGTGGCTCTGTAAAGGTCAGGCCTGAGCAGGAGGCAGCTGGTCCGAAGGCCAATCCTTAGGGCCCTGGTGCAAGTGGGACAGGAAGCACTCTGTCCAGACGCTTGGATTTTCTGCTGGCAGCTTAAAGGTCTTAGACATGCCCAAGAAAAGAGCCTAGAGCTCTGTGTCCAGAGAAACTGAGACCGTGAAGCTACCCCTATGTGTTCCCTGACCCTCTTCAGTCTCCAGATCTGAAGTTTAGAATTCAGTCTGAGCCTCCTTGGCTCCTGGCACAAAGTGGAGCCTTCTGGACCAGCTGCCAGACCAGCACCTCCTCTCAGGCTGCCCCCTGTCTGCCGGCTTAGTGTTGTCCCCCTGTTATGCATAGCAGTCTGAGAACCACCTCCCTGGCCTGGTGGTCCTGTCTCTTGTATCCTCCAAAGCTGCAGGGCAGCTGGAGATGGGACAGGTCAAGACGAGAGCTCACTGTCTGCATCCACAGGCAGGGAAGATGCTTCTAAGCCTGGGCCCCCTCCCCAAGGAGAGGCACTCACTCCTCTGCATGGCCACAGGCCCCTGTAGCTTTGGGAGTCTGCTGACCACAGTGGAGTGGGTTGGCCTGGGCACTCACCCTGCTGTGGAAGTGGAGCGGCCAGTGTTTTATCATGGCCCAGAGGCAGCCACAGAAATTAAGGAACAGAAAACTACACCACTAAGGTGAAAACTAGAAGTGAGACAGGTGCAGGGAGGCCACCGGGCCCAGAACCTTCCTTTTAGACCTGCATACAAGGTGCTGCCCTTAAGTAGATTGGGTCTGAATTGTGGCATGAGAGTCAAGTTGTTAAGCTCTGGACCTGTCTTCCCTCTCACAATCCCACCTGGCCATGGGCAGGGGCAGGGAGCTTTCTCAGCCCATCTTCCCCTAGCAGTCCAGAACCAGAGGGCTGAAAGGAGCTGGGCCCTGTTGCTACCCTGGATGGTTACTCTGCCGCCATGGGCGTCTGCGGCAGGAGGGAAGGCTACGTGCAAGACTGGAGGCCATGACCACTTCTGCCCTCATTTCTGGTCTTCACCCCTCCCGTCCTCTAGCCATGGTGAGATGTCTCCCCTGAGAATAGGTGCTGGGGAAGACCAGAACTGATGTGCCTGCTCTGTGTTAGCCCCTCGTGGCATCACTGGCTCTCCCTACTTTTCCTTCCTATTTCATTATTTTTTATGAACCACCTGTGCCCACCACTATTTTCCTGCACCTTCCTAAGCTCAGAATCAGAGCTGTGTGTCTTGAGCTCAAGGCACAGCGGATCAGGGAACCACAGACCCTGGAAGGTGGAAGGTGGGGGTTACATAGGTCCCAAACAATCCGCTCATCCCAAGGCCTGTCCCAGGGCCTACTGGCCAGTGGGTTTGGAGAACAAAGTGGTGGCTAGTGAGGGGTGGTTTTTCCCTGTATCCTGAGTTTCAATAAGGGCTTTAGTCTCTGGGCCACATAGAGCTGGCTGACCAGGAGACGAGTGTCTAATTATAGAGGACCCTGTGGTGTTTAGGACTGGACAGCGTGGCCTCACCGGTTAGGCCTTCCCTACCCTTCCTGTGTGTGTGTGTGTGTGTGTGTGTGTGTGTGTGTGTGTGTGTGTGTGTGTATGCACGCACACACACATGCACACGTGTTCCACTTGCACATGTACCTACACACATGCACAGAGTTTGTATTCCCTAGAATGTTTCCTGCAGTCACTGGGGGTTGTCTGTGGTGCACAATTGTCCCAAGAGACCATATGCAGAGGGTCATGGTCAGAACTTCCTCCCGAGCTGTCCTCCTTCCCTGGGATGAGTCTCCTCACCACCTGCCCCTAGGTGCCTTATGAGGTACAGCTCTTTACCCAAGCCACATGGCAAGTGGCACAGTGCTTGAGAAACCATGGGACACCAACTGGATGTTGTGTGCTGTCCATCTGATCTGTCCAGATGTGGACCTTGGCCAAGCCACCCATGGCGGAAGCTTGTAAGTCATGAACAAGTTTCCTGTACCTAATGGAACTAACCTGATGAGGTATAACCATCATGTCTGAATGGAAGGAATCATTGGCCTTATTTCCTTTTGCTGTCAGTGGGATGTTGACAATGGCAAGCGGGGATGTTGGTGAGATCTTGGGCGGCAGTGGCTTTTTGGTCTGCTCAGAAGACCTTTGAGGTGAAGGTCTGGCCCATCTGTTAACCCTCAGGCACTCTGGTGGCCTCCTGCCTCAAGCTTTAACTTATGCCTCTTCCTGGCAACTGAGAGTCCTAGGCAAATGGTGACCTGTCATGCCTTTAAAGGGAAAACCTATAAAGGTTCAATTCCTAGGCAATCTAGTCCTTAGCCTGCAGCTCAGAGTCCCCAACGGAAGGCTACCCAGGAGCCCACTCTGCCCTCCAGACAATAACTTACTGGCTTTTTTGCAGCCAGGGATAGACAGCTCTGAGAACTTCTCATTGGCGAAAGCAGCCACCTTATTGGATGTAGGTAGGGCTGGCTTTTAGAAGTTGCACACACTTCTGACCAGGAGTGGCGAGCTTTCTGTTTTACCCTGTGAAACACTGGCAGCTCTGAAGGGCAAGGGACTTCCAGTCCAACAGTTGTCAGCACCTTGAGCTCCTGGGTGGGTGGGTGGGTTGGTCTTACTTGATTTCACTTTCCATGATGATTATTAGAACTCAGAACTGTGCGAGCAAACAATGGCCTATTTCCACTGCCCTTCCGGTGGGGGTGTTTCATCAGTGGTGTTAAGATTCACAGAAATGCATTTTTGAAATGAAAGGGAAGAGACTGTGTACTTACGTTGTAAAATGGTTTACAATAAAGTTTCACATCTTAATAAAGCTTTTTTTAAAAAAAAGAAAGAAAAGAAAGCATCACTTGTGGTTGTTAGTTGTGTGTTGTCTGGAGTTGAAACAGCTTCGTGGGGTCAAGAAAATTTCCCCAGTGAGTTAGAAGATTCTCCCAGGGGAGCCTGAGTGTCTCAGTCAGTTAAGCGTTTCCTTTGGCTCTCAGCTCCGATGCTCCTCAGCCATGGTGGCTTCTCAACCTTGCTCTGGGGTCTGCCCCAGGGCGCTTCCAGCAACACCCCTCCCCACCCCCACTCCCTACCACACCCCTGCACTTTCAGCAGCTGCAGGGGTGATTGATTACCTCAAAGTGCTTGACCAGTTGCTTGGGTTGGACTTTAAGGTACATCTCGTACTTTCCCTTGTGCCTCTTCAGCAACTCCTCATAGGTCAGCTCAAAGGTGACCTTGCTGCCCGCAGCCACGTTGACGGACACTGTGAACTTCTCCAGCTTCCTCCCAGAGGCCCTGGAGGGGATACAACACTGCCCTGCAGACGGCGAGCTTGCCCTTCCTGGGCCTTCGGCTCAGATCCAGCCCCTAGGAGAATCCCTCCCCACTCCGAGCCTTGCCTGCCTCCACTCCTAAGTGGGACAATGCTGTAAGCATTACAGACACGTTTTGCTATAACCATGAAATATTCTCAGTGACCATGACCGTGGCTGTCGCTGTCTGCATCTCTGAGAGCCCTTGAGCCCTTGAGCCCCTTCTTCGCAAGGCCGAGGGGGCACCGCGCTTACTTGACCAGGCCGGCTGTCTTGCCCTGGGACACAGCCTTCTCATACTGCTTCTTGGCGACTTCCTTCTCCTTGACATTCCCGGGGTAGGTCACACCGTCGATGGTCCTGCAAGGAAGGAGAGTAGAGTTGGGGGCTCATGCTGAGCCAGACCACTCCCACCCCGCCACTCTGGCCTGGAGCCAGCAGCCATGGCGACACCCACAAGGTGAAGTTGGTGATGAAGGCCGTCTTAGGCAGCTCCACGTCAAAGGACACCTCCTTGGCGGTGTCTGCGCGGTTGACAGCCCTGGTGGTGACGACATTGTGAGCAAAACGGGAGGTCACCTTGCAGCTGATCTTGGTGCTGTAGACCTCGATGCCATTGCTGACCTGCAGGAGAGGACAGTGCTCGACCAGCCTCTGGGAAAGCAGCCCCTACACCTGGCTGCTCTCCTTCTGGGTGCCCCTTGCAGAGTCCAGGGCCTCTGCCTGGTGAGTGGCCCTTTCAGTTTCCTCGGTCTTCCCATTCAGTTGGCCACCCTGGTTCTGGAAGGCTCTGGCCTTTCTGAGCGCCTCCTTCCCCATCAAAGACCAGGGGCTCCTTGGAGGGCAGGACCCTCTCAGCCGGCCTTAGAGCTCAGCACCCAGAAGCCACTTAGGGAGGGGTTTTGCACCATGAGAAGGAACTTCATGCTGGATGGTATTGCGCGTGTTGGTGCCAAGATGAGGGGAGGGGAACAAGGAGAGGGAGGGGCCCTGCTCTGCCTCCTTAACTCTGGATGTGTTTCTGGGCAGCTAGCTGTAGCCAGGGGAGGTCTTCTAAAAATCCAGTCTGACTGTCCATTCCCCACTTAAGCCCTCTTGTGCTCCCCATCACCCTCTGGACAGTCATCCTCAGGGCTCCAGGGTCCTCCAGACAGGTCCTGCCTTTCTGATCAGACGTGCGCCAGCTGCACCACGTCTCTGGCCAGGGAGCACCTGCCCTAGCTCTTCGGCTCACCTCCACTTTGAAAGAAATCACATTCACACACACTCCGGCTCTCCTCCTCTGCTTTGGTAATTGCTTGATTCTGTCCCCAAACTGGCACTTATTTCCTGTGCCAAGGAGAATGTGTGGGGAGGGCCTTCAAGTCCCCAACACCTCCTCTCCGGTGGGGGCAGTGGACTGAGGGAAGGTCTAGGGAGCATCTGCGTGGAGCAGGATATAAAGATGCTTCGTGAGGATGTGTGTCCCCAGCCTGGTGCTCAGGGCCTGCTCCGAGCAAGTGCTAGGTATGTTTGTGAGAGGAAGGGCTGGTGGAAGAACGGCCACGGGCTGCATCCAGAGAGGTCTGCGGGCATGTTCTGTGGCATTCTTTCCCAGAGTTGGTGAGTCACATGGGGGTCGGTCAGGGCAGGGCTGGGAGCTGTGTGCCAACTGGGAGGGCCCTTTCATTATGGCCCACCCCTTCTGCTATTGGGCAAGCAGCTCCATCCTACCCTGCTCACCCCACCCCATCCCTGGTGAAAGTTCTCACCCCTTCTGGGAGGATCCATTCTGCAAAAACAAAGACAAACACAGGAATCAGGCCAAGGCCAAGGCCACCATAGCCTGGGAGCAGGCTCTGGGCTGAGGTCAGGGTCCAGCAGATCCCCCATACACATACCTCTTGAGGGGCCTCTGGACATAGGACCCACCCAGAGCCACTTCAGACTAGGAAGAACTCCGAGTATATGGGGAAACTGAGGCCCAAATAGGGCAGGTCTCCAGGTGTCCCAGGAGAGCAGGGTTGGGAGAACCAAACTACCTCTCACCCTGCCCCCACACACCCTGACTCCCTCTGCCTTTCCCTGGGCCCCAAACCCCCAGAATGCCCCCACCACCAGTGCACCCCACAAGGCGTGGCTCAGCCGTTCTTGGAGTCATCTGTCCTTGTCTCAGATGTGGACCTGCACAGCCCCTCAGCGAGGGGAGCTGTTTCTGGTGCATCACCCATTTGACAGGTGGGGAAATGCAGGTCACAGGAGATTTAAGAGCGCGACACCCAACGCTGTCCCCTGCAGCTCACTGCCTAGCCCTCTGCCTCCTCCTCTCGCCACATAGAGGATTGTCCATCCTGTCGCTTCTGCCCATGTGACATGCTCAGAGGGCGAAGACGGGGCTACTTCCCCCCAGTGGCCGGGAGGGGCTTCTCAGAAAGCCAGAGGCCACCAAGCCAGAGAGCAGGGCCAAGATGAGGCAGGGCCACCACGCAGATGCCACCGCTGAGCACACAGGCCCGGCCTATGCTCCTTATATGGTGAGCCTGGTGTTTTCCAACTGGGGTCAATGACCTGCAGTGTAGGATGGGAAGAGCGGAAGGCGGGGGGCTCCCCTGGGGAAGCTGGGGCGTGGGTGGAATAACAGGTCCTGGATCTGTCTGTACCAAGAGGGCCCATGGGGACTGTCAACAGTGTTGGGACATGGAGTCTCCTGGAGAAAGCAGACGCTGTGTGCTGGCAAATGGGCCCTCAGCTCCCTGGGGGGCGGGGGTGCTCATAGGGTGTGGCGTCCTGCTGAAAGCCAAGGGCATCTCAGCACTATTGCCTGTTACCTGCACCACTGACATGGCCTGGGGTCTGGCCTCCTGGATGGAAGCCCTCCAGCCTTCTCCAGGCAGCCAGGGCACATAGCGGGCCTGTCGCCCTGAGGCTCATTTCTCCACAAGGGGCTGCACCCCTTGCTCACGACCCTCGTTGGGTTCTCGAGGCCCCAGGGGAACGACAAAGCCCAGGTCCTGCGCTCCAGCCCTCTCTGTGAGCTGGCTTCAGCTTGCTTTTCTGAACTCACTCTTTCCCCCTGGCACACCCCCTTTGTCTGCACCTCGTGCCTCTCTTCCTGCCAGACCTGAGTCCAGCCTCCAGAAGCCTTCCTGTTTTGTCCCCTCTCTGACCCAGACAGCCCTGCTCCGGGCTCTCAGTTCCCGAGGGCCTGCTCCATCACTACCTTTCATTGAGACTTGCATGTTTGGGTCAGGCCGTCCGTCTACACTGAGCTCCCAGAGAGCCAGGCCGCATCCCATTCATCCCTGTGTTCCAAGGGCCTGGCCAGGGACTCAGCTGCCTTCACCTCCTGGACACTCCTTCCCCTAAGAGTCTCCTTTGAGGCTGGAGCCCTGCCTTCCTGGACAATGGCAGCGTCTGAGGCAGAGCCCAGTCTCTCCTGGGCCACCCCACGGCCCTGCCAGCCTCCAGACCTTCCACATGGCTGCCATGTGCCTGCCATACTCATGCTCTTCTGAGCAAAGTGACCCGGTGATCCTCCCATGGAGCCACCACTGATTGGTGTGGATGGGGCCGCCTGCGCAGAGGGCAGCTAATTGATGGTGTCCTATGTCCTTGGCTAAAAAGCTCCACATCCAACTATGAGTTGGACAGAGAGAGTTGACTGCTGGGAGCAGAGAAAGGCTGAAAAGGCAGAAAGAAGACTCCATGAGGCAGCAGGAGCCATGAGGAAGAAGTGGATTAGTGGCGGGAAGTGGCTGGAGCCACAGAAGCAATGACAGAGAGTTGCCGAGTCAACGAGACAACGTTGGTCCAAATGAAGCAGACACCGAGGTGGCCACCACCCGTGTGGCAGACTGGCTGGGGTCCCGTGCTCCCCAGGCCTCTGGAATCCTTATACACCCCTGCTGCCGGCTGGCACCAAGCTCAGGACAGACAGGGACCCGACCCTGCAGCTCTCGGAGCTGGAGCACCCAGCCCTGCAGCCTGGTCCCGGGATTCCTGGCTCCTGGGAATCTCGTTTGTGCAGTCATTTTCAGCATCTGTGGTCACTGACCACTGGGTGATAGGGCGGGGGGCGGGGGGGGGGTTGGGTGTGTGTCTCTGGCAGGACTATTGTCCTCCCAACAGTTGTCCAGCAGCCCCTCGGAGCCCCGTGGCTGCCTGTGGAGCTTCCCTGGCCCTTTCCTCTACGTGCCTCCTCGTCCCCGATTACTTGGACATTGTTGGGAGGGACAACTCTACCCAGGGCTTCTGTGGCTGCTCAACAGGCACTGGAGGGACAGCTGGGGACTTGGAGGGACCCAGAGTCACGTGCAGGGTGGCGAGTGAGATGGAATCTAAGAGCTCTTGGGGCTCACAGCCTTTCCGCTCTGCAGGAGGGAAGGCCTGTCTCTCCGGGCAGCAGCCATCGATCCCGCAGTCCCGGGCTCTCCCTCCCTTACAACGCCCAGGAGGCTCCAGTCGGTGCTTGGGCTCTGAAACGCTGTTCTTCCCCCCTCTTTACTGCCCCCTCCCCCAGAGCTCTGTGCTCCCGGGGCCCAGGGCAGCCCTGGAGCTCAAGATTTGAGTTACTGATCTGGGTCCTCCTGGGCCTCCGTTGTAGTGGGAACTGCACGGAAACCAGCGGAGGAAAAGTAGAAACCTTTGGAAAAGAGGCCCATCAACCTTCACCAGAGGGCCAGTGCTTCTCAAGACGCCAGGGAAGGAGCCCCGAGGGCATCATTTTCAGGCCTCACCATGAGCCAGTGGGCTGCTCTTGCTAGCTCCCTGAAATCACCACTTTTGGGCAAGGCTGTCTTTGCCTTTGGGAAATGTCCTGGCTCTCAGGGCTCGCAAACCCAAGCTGGAATGTTGAGCTGAGGGGAAGGCCCTGGAACCGCCTCCAGGGACCGTGTGCCAGTGGGTGTAGCATCCAGCTCCCACAGGACTTTTTGGGACCCCCGATCTGTATGTACTTTCTATGCTCCTTTCATATGCTTATTGATGCTTTGGAATATCTAGAGAGAAATCCCAACAGGCTGTGATCCGCTGCCCAGCCTGACGGGAATAACCGCATAGGGGATTAAGCTCACAGATGCTGACACCACGCAGCATGGGTTCAAAGCCCAGCTCTGGCACTTACAAGTGACTTTGGACAAGTCCCCTAAGCTCCGTTTCCTCGGCTATAGCTGGGTGTGGCACAGGTATCCCTGAGGGCTGTTGGGCTTCGAATCTAGATGCATTTAGTTAATTCCACAAAGACACTTAGAACGGTGCCGGTATAAACAGCCAGTGTCCCTGAGGGGAGCTGTGTGCAGGGGGCACTCCAGGTGCTCAGCGGGCGTGGAATGGGGCAGCTGCAGTGAATAGGGTGGGGTGGGGGCAGAGTAGGTCCCTGGCGGCCTCCGGGTGTGCTCTGACCTCAGAGTCCTCTGAGGGGCAATATCTTGGGTTGCCTCCCTGCCACTCTCCCTCCCCAAAAGCAGCCAGCCTGGGCTAGACTCAGCCTCCCTTTAATGGAAGTCATGGGGCCTTTGACACATGGATCAGCTTGACCAGAGAGGTGTGGCACAGGGAGCCGGTCAGGATGCTGTCCTCTGCCATGGTCCCGAGAAAGGACAGGTGAGCCGCCTAGGGGGCTCAGAAGATGTCCGGGACGATGTAGTCAGTGTAAACGCCGTCGATCAGCCCCGCCCCATTGTTGTGGACGAACCAGCATGTCACCTCAGCCCCGTGCCGGGGGTTCTTGCTGTAATCTTTCTGCAAGCCCCTGGGGAGATACAGAAAGCTGGGGTTACCCTTTGAACCCCCCACAGGAAGCCCATTCCACCTCTGTGACACCTGGAGGAAGGCCCCGACCAATGACAGGAATGTCAAGGGCAGACATACTGGGAGAGCAGCCACCTACCTGGTGACCGTCAGTTGGTGGCTCTTTACCAGCATCGTGGCATCTGTCTTTGTGGGGTCGGAGCCCGGGTGGGGGTCAGAGACTGTATAATCAATGGGGTGGAAGAACTGTCCTGGAAAGGCACATTGGAAGCAGCAGTTATCCTGGGGGGCCCGGGGCTCAGCAGGTGCTCACTGGGGAGTCACAGACTGGCCTGAATGCTTGTCTTTTTAAGGGCGGGACTGTATCTGATACGGTTTGGCATCGAAAGCCACCCCTTTGGCATCGAAAGCAGATTTATTGGCAGCCGGTTATACCTCCTACCTTCTCGGACTAATTCGGCAAGAACCTGGCTGGGGAGAGGGTCCTAGGGGTAGGTGCCCCCAGGCAGCAAGTGCTGCAGGAAGGCCACCAGGAAAAGCAGTGGGCCAGTGAGTCACCCCACCCAGGAGGCCTCGGGGATCTGGTCTGTTTGGACCTTGCTGCCAATCGGACCTCTCCCTGCTCGCCCCCAGACCCACTTAAGGTGTAGTTTCACCTTGTGTTTGATCACAGCCTTTCTGAGGGACGAGACCCTGAGCAGGACCAGCCTTGTTTGGAGCTCTGAGCCTCGATGGCCGAGTTGGAGAAGGGCCTGCCCCGGTGACCAGCTGCAAGTCTGAGCCATGGTGAGCCCCCTGGCTGCCACAGTGCACCCCACTACCTCTGCCTGCCCAGCTGGTTACCTAGCAGCCCGTGTGTCCGAGCCGACATCCGGTGACTATCCAGCACGTAGAAGCCCAAGAAGTCCTGGTGGACGGCACTCCCCTTCCACACCCGGTGCAGGACAACCTCAAACGTGCCCCCATCTTCCACAGCCACCACCAGGTTCCTCTTCCTGTTGATGGTCACTACCACCCTGCAGGGCAAGGTGGCCGTGGGGGCAGGTGCAGCTACACCACACGCCCCTCCATGCAGCTGCCCTGCTCCTCTTGGATCCAGCTGTCATGAGCACCACGCCCCCCGCTCCCAGATGGAGGGCTGTTACCTGCTACATGCTGCTTTGGGGGCGGGGGGGCTTACAATGTGCTGGGCACTGTGCCAAGCCCTCCATACAAACTGCATCATTTGTTCTCACTCTGATCCTGTGAAGCTCAGAGAGGGTCAGGGACTTGCCCAGGTCCAGGCCACACAGTTGCTAAGCAGTAAAGGCAGGACTTGGACTCCAGCTTCTCTAATATCAAAGTCCGTGTTCTCTGACTGCCACTCATCATCTGTGTCCTCCACACTGGACTCTGCTCTCTCCTTCCTAAAGCTCTGCTGCCCAGCATCCGCTCTGGTACTTGGCAGAGTTGGGAGAATGAGTGAGTGGAGGAAGGAACAAACAAAAGCACAAGGTGTGCTAAGATAGGTGCTGAAAGAGACGCCCAGAGAGCTCGAGTCCAGCGGAGAAGAGATGAGGTGGGTTTCAGGGAATAGGTGGCCTTGGCGCTGGGCCCAGGACGTGGGTTGGCTTTGTGTGGTGGTGATGAAAATGGACCGCTGGGCAAGGGCACGCAGGCGGCCCGGCCTGGAGCGAGGGTCCAGGAGCGGAGGGAAACGGGTGGGGTGGTCCACAGGGCCCAACAGGTCTGCCCAGCCCACACGGAGGCCACACGGATGACATTCAGTGACGTAGCTCAGGGGACGAGGGCCCGGCAAGCTCAGGCAGCTGAGCTGGCTCTGGGGCTTCCTGCCTTATCCCTCCCCAGGCCTCCCCCCACCTGCCTCCCCCGCCCCCCCACCAGGCCCAGGCCCCAGCCTGGTTACTCATGCTGCCGCAGTGAAGCCTGGTCCCTCCAGGAGAACACGGGTCCACCCGAGCCAGGGTTCAGCGTAATGTTGTGAGGGGTCACCTCCAGCTGAAAGCCTGTCGTGGGGTTCACAATCCCCAGCCGCCCAAAGTACGTGCCCTGGTGCTGCCCAGGGCTCCCGGCTCTGTTGCCGATGAGCTGCCCATTCACGGAGAAGCCTGCAGGAGGGTGAGGGGCCATCCGGGTGAGGGAGGGGCCAGCTCTCGCTAGATGCCTGCCAGCCTGCCTTTGTTCATGCCGTGCCCCCCTCCTGGGAGACACCCACACTCCACACTGGCTTTGAGGCTCCCCCCTCGCCAGGGGGCCTTCAGGATGAGTGGAGGCCACACAGCACTTCTCCCTCCCCACTCCTACAGGGCTAACTACCTACTGCTTAGCCCTTGCTTCTGGGCCCCCAGGCCAGGGGTCTTGTCTCCCCGAGGATAGGATTTGGGCGTGCTCCTTCTCTGTCGCCCTAATCCCTGACCCAGGAGCAGGTCACAGAGGCCTCCTCTCAACTGAGCAGCCCTAAGCCCCCTCCTTGCCTTCACTATCCCAACATGGCATGTCTCATGCTCTCAAATTGTCATCTGAGAATGTGTTTGCCTGTCTGTCTCCCTTGGCCAAACTGCACAAGCACAGGGACTTTGGCTCAGTCCCTACTGCACCTGTAGCCCCTAGGAGGTGCTCAACGAATCCTTGCAGACCGCCTGATCGGACTCAGAGGGAGGCAGGGAGAGAGTGGCCCACAGACAGTCGGACAGGGAGCACTGCTGGGGGAGGGACTCGGGCTCCCTCAGCCAAGGTGAGGGGGAAGGCAGGGCAGGATTACTCCAGAATTTGCAGAACTTGGTACAAAATGAAAGTGAGGGGACTTTGCTCAAAAACTGTTAAGAACTTCGAGACAACTAGAGCAGAGCATTAAACCGAGCATGGGCCCTTCTAAGCACAGGGTCCTGGGTGCCTGCAGGGGTCACACGTCCAAGAGCAGGTGCCACCTAGGGCCCAGGCAGGTCGATGGGAGAGAAGGAGGTGGGTTGAGCTCAGCAGGTGACCGGGGCCCAGGCTGTGGGCAGTGGAGGCCATGGACACTGTCGTGTCGGTGGCTACCACCGAGGGCGCAGGAGTGCAGCCCCGCTCTGTCTGGCAGAGGCCGTGAGGTCACGAGTACCTGTGTCCGGGTCCTGCACCAGGCTGAGGATCACACCGGGCTCCTCATTGATATTGAAGCACAGGGTATCCTCCTTCTGGGGCACGTGGATGAGGAAGTGGGGGTCAGTGTCCACTGGGGGCATAGCATGGAGTAGTCCGTTAGATTGGGCATCGGGCAGGTGGGCTGGGGCCGGCCAGGAGCAGGGCAGGGGTGTCCCTCACACCCCCCCCAGAACTCGCCTCCGGTCACTTGGTTTGGCAACTGCTGGATGTCGGGACTGGATCCAGTCGGGGAAGGCTGTGAAGCCGGCAGCTTGAACGCTGGCGGGAGGGAACGGCACTTAGGAGATGGTACCCCACTTCCCTGGGGCTGCGGGCTCCTTTTCCCAGCCCCCCCCAGGCGGCAGGCCTGAAGCCCCAGAGCAGGAGGGCCCCGAGCCCCTGATGCCTGCCGGGGAGCCAGCCCCTCAGCTGTCCCCTCCGTGGGGGCCTGGCGGAGCTGGTGGCATAAGGGGACTCAGGCCTGGTCAGGGGGCTGTGGTGAGGGTCCCGGGAGAGGCGGTGAGCGAGCCTCCTGCTGTCCGTCATTTCCTCCTGGGGCAACGCAACGCTGGCGCGGCTCAGGGGGCGCGGCTCAGGGCTGAATGGGCCGCCCGAGGGGCGAGGTAGAGACGCGGGGCGGTGGGGCGCTGCCACTTACTCTTTCTGTGTCCCACCATCTCTGCGGAGGACACAACGTGGGCCAGCGTCACCCTCACCACCCCCTGGAGGCCCGGGCCTCGTTCCCCGAGGCACCCTGGGCCCGGAGGCCACCGCGGCCTCGGCTGACCCTCCCCTGGGCACCCCGGCCCGGCCGCGGGCAGACGCAGGCTCCCGGAGGCCCGCATGGAAGCTGCGTGAGGGCTCCCCAGGCACCCCGGGGGCAGCGGCGGGGTTGGGGGGCCGAGCTGCCTGCAGGGCCCCAGGAGCCCCTCCCGAAAACCAGCCTGGTTTAAAAACTCACCCAAGGGCAGGGAATCTGGAAGGGAGAGAAAGGGAAGAGAGTCAAAGGCCCGGAGGCCTGGGGCCCCCAGGAGCCTCCCGCCCACCGCCTGCCCCTCGCAGAGCCCTACCCTCGGGGGGCTTGTCAATGACGGGCTCCAGGCCGTCCTCGTCCGCCATGCCCCTGATGGTCATGGAGGTCAGCGGGGTCACGAACTGGTAAGCCAGCGACATCTGCAGCGCCTTGGCCGCCACGTCGGCCTTCTCCTTCCCCTCCAGCTTCGTCCTGAGAGACGTGCACCGGCTCCAAGCCCCGCGGCCAGACAACAGCAGCCTGGCCCTCCTGGCCCTCTTGCTCGCTTGTTCGCTGCCTCACTGGGCGGGCATGTGTGGAGTGGCATTGGGGATAACCAAATGTCAGGCCTGGTGGGGTTCCGTCTGCTTGGAGCCTCCAAGGATAAAAATAATCTCCATCACAGACTGACAAGGAACTTAGGGGTGGCAGACACCCCCCCACATCCACTCCCCACACCCACTGCAGATGGAGAGCACTGCCATGCACCCCGATGGTCTCCCCTTTAAGGGTGGATATTAGTAGGTAGCAGAGAGCTAAGTGACCTCCAGGGGAAACCTTGGACCCTTCGCGCTCTCCACAGCTCAGTGGCTAGAATGGGCTCAGATGTCACTCACCCTCTTCCGGCAACCTAAGTGTCCTCAGGCCTGGTACCTGTGGGTGCCTTCAGCCAGCCAGACTCTGTGCCCTTCCCTGGCCCTTCCTGGGCACTTGACCCCCTGCCTCTTCGTCCCTTGCTAAACTTGCACTGCGAGCCAGACCATGGTCAGACACAAGAGCCCACACAGATGGAGCAGCTGTCCGGCTGTCCCTCGGGACGGGTGCTCACCTATGAACTGTGGGGGGCTGTGCTCCTGTGAGCAAATGCTCCTGAGATTCAGACACAGGAAGCTCCTGCCCTGCTGCTGTGCAGAGATGGAAAGTCTCTTTCCTCTGGAATCTGAGGGGGGCGGGAGGGTGGGGGTGGCGGATAGAAGAGTGGAAAACAAGCTCAGAATGGCCCAGCCTGGCTCAGGGCCCTCACTTCCCTCGGGGACACCCACTACATCGGGATGGACTATCCCAGGTGGACAGCTCAGGCTGCCACACTTGTTCCAAGATCCGCGTTCATCAACACCCCCCTTGCTCGCTGCCAGGCTCGGCACCTCCTGCCTGCATAGAGCAGCTGTCCCCAAGGGCACAGGGTCCCCCCGGCTGTCTGCCATCCCCAGGCAGCAGTGCTTAGCCAGCCCTCTCATCTCTAAGAATAAACTCTGAAGCTACAGGCAGTACGGACCTGAATCATCAGGAAGCCCGTCAAGGAGGGGAGTGGCTTTCTGGACCGGCAAGTGGACCATATAAGCCCCGGAGGGCTGGCGCTGCTCTGATCCCTTCCACTGGTTTCTGCCTGCCAGAGGAGCACCTTCAAACAGCTCTCGTACAGCACCCACCATGTCGCAGGTAGGAGGGTCCAGCGCAGGCTGGGTGGGTGCCAGGGTGGGGCTGGGAACCTGGACGCTGTCCTCTCTCGACAGTTGTGTCCTGAGCTGAACTCCAGGTGTAAAGAGGAGTGTCTGCAGCCCCTGAAAGGCCAGGGCCCAGGGAGGGCAAGCCTGGGCCCCAGCTTGCTGACAAATCCCTATTTATCTTGGGTTTGGTGGTATCGTCTGGTTTGCCAGTGGGGTAGAGACAACATGTATGATACTTTGAATCTCTGTGTATGCTTGTGTGTGTGAGGAAGCTGACTGCATGTAGCTCCATGTGTAGCCGTGAGTGTGTATGTACACATCCATGTGAGGCTGGGTCTGTAGGTACGCAGCTCTGCTCTGGCGTCTCCCCAGCAGGATAGGTCTCCGTGTACAGTGTGTAGTGTGTTGCCCCAGCAGCCCAGCCCAGGCTCGGGGACCAGGGATTCCCTGCACCTGTCCCCAGGGCTTAGGAAGAAATGAGGCCTCAGACTCATGGGTGCCTGGGGGTGATGGGTTGGATAAGCGCTGAGCCTGCGTATGCCTAGTACTGGAGGGACAGAGCGACCAGCATGCTAAGTGGAGGGTTCTCCTTGCTGCCTGCTCCGTGGGTGGGGCTGACTTCATGGGCATCTAGCTCTACCCTATTGCCTCCCCAAAACACACAAGGTAAACACTGGCAATATGGGGGAGAGAAAGACAATCCCTAAGGGACCCCTTGCCACCCAGCGAGCAGGTTTTGGAATTAAGCCCTTAAAACTCCACCTCAAACCAGTCCCTCTCCCCTTTGCCCTTTGTGCCCAGGCCTGAGCCTGGTCAGGCAGGCTAACAGTGTGAGGCCACAGCAGCCACACTCCCCAAGCTCCCAGTTTGTGGGAGAAGGACAGAGAGATTGCAGGTGGTGGATGGAATACATTTGGGAAAGCTTCCTGGAAGAGGAGTGGGGCCTTAAACTGACTTGAGTTCAGTGACTGGTGAAAAGGGATCTCAGGGCCAAGGCACAGAGGTGGGAAGGGGCTTTGAGCCTCAAGGCCTGGGGTTGTAAGATGAAGCTCTGGGCTCTCCAAGGCTGGTGCTCCGGATGCCCCCATCAAGAAGAAGCGCCCCCCTGTGAAGGAGGAAGATCTGAAGGGGGCCCGTGGGAACCTAGCCAAGAACCAGGAGATCAAGTCCAAGACCTACCAGGTCATGCGGGAGTGTGGTGAGTATCCCCCTGGGTGGTGGGGTTGGAGGGTGTGGATGGGTGTCATTGGGGGTGGGCGACAGTGCGAGGGGTCCGAGGTCATTCCCTGAGAATCCAGAGCTCCTGAGCTCAGGGGACACCCCCTCCCCCGGTAAAGGGAGACCCCATGCCCACACCTCTGTGTCCTCCCCACAGAACTAGCCGGCTCCACCGCCCCATCAGTGTTCAGCGGCAGCCGGACTGGCTCGGAGACTGTCTTTGAGAAGCCCAAAGCTGGACCTGCCAAGAGTGTCTTTGGCTAAGAAGTGCACGCCATTCCCCTCACCGCTGTCAACTCCCAGACGCAGGATCCTTTCCCCAAAACTTTTTATGCCAGAATGCACCTTCTCGTCTACTGCCTGAGGGACTGCCACCTGCCCCTCACAGCCCGGGCCCCTCGGCCCAGGGACTCTATGCCAGCACCTGGAGAACAGCAATAAAGAGGACGCCCAAGTGGCTCCAGCGTTTGGAGGGTGTTGGTTGGTCACCGGCCATAGCCACTAAGTGTAGGGGAGGAGCAGCTGGGGTAGGGCATGGGGCGTGTTCTGTACCCTTGCCAGGCTTTTGGGAGGTCCCAGGGTAGATAAGGCAGGTGCTGTTATGGCTGCTGCCACATGCCAGAAAGAGCCTGGGACATGGAGACCTGGTGCTGAACTTCGGTGTGACTTCAAACCATTCTTTCCTTTTCTGGGCCTCAGTTTCCCCTTCTGTCTGACAAAGGACTAGAGCTGGGGCCTGTTGCCTTAGACAGCCCACAGTAACACTGCTCAGAGTGAAGCAAGTGGGGGGCCCAAGGCTCACCCGTCCCCCTGCTCTCCACAGAAACCATTGAGATGCTTCCAAGGACTCCAAGGCTCTGCAGGACCAGGGGCCTCAAAGCCCCCCTGCCCCTGCACCCTGTTTGCACTCCCTCCTTGCCAGCTTACACCCCCCCCAAAGCAAAGCCAGGCTGAGGCCCCTCTCTGGCCAGTGGTGGTCCACCTCCTGAGCTGCTCTTCTCCCAGACTCGGGGCAAGCCTCCTTGCCACTCTCACAGCTCTGCCTGCATCCTGGGAACTCCCAAGTCCTCTGCTCACGAGCAGTGTTTCCTTTCTCAGACCTCAGGGTCCCTTGTGTGCATGGAGCTGTCAGATCCAGGGGGGCTTCAGAGGCCTATCCCCCCATCATGGCAAAACCACGGGCTGTCCGGGGCGGGACCAGCAGGGCCCGGGCTTGAGGCACTTGACTCGGGCTGCTGCCTGCAGGGAAGCCGGGCGGTCCCCTGGGCAGGTCGGGCTGGCTGCTCAGAGTCTTTCCCACGTCCTCAGCCAGCCTGTCGTCCTGGTATAGCTGTTTCTAGGCTGGACCTGTGCTCTCTGCTCTGTGGAGCAGGCCTCGTATGGGACAGGGCTGGGCCTGCTCACTGTGCTCCTTGGGGAAGCTCCTTTCTCAGACCACTGAGGAGGTGTGAAGCCCGTATTATCCCAAACATACTGAGAGCCACACGGCAGGCAGCACAGACGTGCATACAGGTGCTTCTGGCTGTAGTCGTGCTGAGAAAGGGGAACATTTACGGGCAGCCAGAGAGCTCCAGGGACTCTACGCCCTTTACTCAGGGCTGGATGCTGCGGGTCTGATGGAGGAGACCCCTGGGGGCCAGTCACTGCCTCAGAACCTTGTGTGGGTCCCCAAAATGGCGGCTGCACCCCACCCCACGCCAACCAGTGTCGCCAAGACATCTTCCTCCTTGACCCAGGGTTTGGCACCTGGCCACACTCCTGAAGCTACCCCACCCCATCCATGGCCAGACTCGGGAGCTGGGCTTCCCCAGAGCTGCCAGGGACACAAGCACCAGCTGCGTCCGAATCCCTCAAAATGTATTCATTTCATTGCTATTTGTTATAAAAGCAGCACTGCAACTTTATTAAAGGATAATTGAAAAAAGTTACTGGTAATCCTACCCTAAGCCCTCCGGGGCACTCCCAAGGGTCTGGGCTCAGGACAGTGGCACTGCCTTGGCCAGCCAAAGGCCCGGCCTTCTCACGCAAGCCATGACTCAGGGGCTCCCTCTGCCCGGCTGACCCCATCATGGCCCCCCTGGGCTCGCACACCACCACACTGAACCACCCCCTTCTGGGTTCTGTTCCCTGCTCTCCTCTCAATACATTCCCCGGGGGGAGACCTCCACAGGCCACAAGATGCCAGCATCTTTATGGCTCTCAGATTGTTTTGCCAAAGTGCGAGTCTTGTTCTAGGGACCTTGGAAGTGAACCAAGAGCCCCAGCTAGATGAATGGGGCCCAACAGCAACCTGACCCAAGGACAGAGAAGGGGTCTCCGTCCTGCCCTGGCCCCAGCAGATCTACCCCAGTGGCCACCCAGTTCTTCTAGGGCCCCCACCGCCCAGCCACACTAGGCTGGCATCCAGGCCACCTTCCTCCTAGAAGCCACTGCCTAGCCTACCCCCTACCCCCTAACCCACTGCCCCGTTTTGAGCCATCCCTGTCTCTCCCAGGCTGGGCCAGGCTGCTTCGCTCTTGTGGCTCCCAGACCCAGGGAGCCTGCTGGTGGAATGGCTGGTATGAGGGGTGGTAGCAGCCTGGGATGATTCTGGACCTTTCAGAAAGGGTGCCATGCCCAATTCCCATCTGAGCCTGACTGAGTACATGTTCCTGTCCCCAGCCAAGGTCCATGGGACATTCACAGTTTGCTTATCTGAGGCCACTGCAGTTTTTGGCTTGGAGATCCCGATTTCCCAGAAACCGCCCCCAGAGGGGTGGGACAGCAAGCATGTACTAATTCATTCCCCACTTCCTCTGAAGTTCAGAAGCAACCTGCTAGCCCCTGGGGCCAAGATGAAGGCTTCGGGCCCTGGCTGCACCTGTGGCGTCACGCTGGTCCTGCTCTCGCTGCTGGCTGTCCTCCATGCGACCACTGCCCAAAAGGTAACGGGTGTCCACGGGTGCCTGAGTGGGAGTGGTGTGAGCTGATTCACAAGAAGGTTCTCTGTGTGTGCAAGTATGTGCAGACAAATGAGCATGGATCAGTGTGTGTGCAAAGAAGCAGTGCTGACCGTCCACCGGGCCCTAGCCTGGGGCTGTATGGCTACTCTCCCACTTGATAGAAGGGAGACCTTCTTTCTTTTTTTTTTTTTTTAAAGATTTTATTTATTCATTCATGAGAGACACACACACACACACACACACAGAGAGAGAGAGAGAGAGAGAGAGAGAGAGAGAGAGAGAGAGGCAGAGACACAGGAGACACAGGCAGAGGGAGAAGCAGGCTCCATGCAGGGAGTCCGATGTGGGACTCGATCCCTGGTCTCCAGGATCACACCCTGGGCTGAAGGCGGCGCTAAACCGCTGAGCCACCCAGGGATCCCACCTTATTTTCATTTTACAGGGTGGGGGCATTGGGGGTTGGGAGTGCAGCTCAGCCAGTTGCTGCTGGGAGCTGGTGGTGGGTGGGGTGGGTGAGAATGGGCTTCATGAGGCCAGCTCTACCTCTCCTGGCCGAATGGCCTCTGGGGAGTTATTTACACTCTCTGTGTCTGCTTCCTCATCTGTAAAATGGTAAAAAGCTCTGAAGAGCTTTTTTGTGAAGAGCAAACCTGTAATATTTAGAGAGAACTTAATACAGTGCCTGCCACCAAGCAGAGACAGGCCACAGGTCACCCGGCCCTTCCCATGCCTTGGTGCTAAGCTGCGTGTGCAGCTGGACATACCATGTGCAGGGAGCAGGTGTGCAAGGCTGCCTGGGGGCACACGTCCCCCCTTCCTGGGGGGACCGCATGGCCTACAGGAAGAGGGCATGGGGCCGGGGAGGGGCCACGGCTGTGGGGCCAAGGGGGGCAAAGAGGAAGGCAGTTATGAGACGGGGCCTCGTTGCCTACAAGTTTCACAGTTCCTGGAAGCACCTGGTGGGAGAGGGGCAAGTCCCAGTTTCCATGGAGGCCAAGGTCACCAGAAATCACAGAACACGTTCACTCCTCTTGCACGGGGCAGAGCTAAGATCAAATGTGAAGCTGTCTGACCCCTCAGGGCCCCCCGCCTGAGGAGAAGGTGAGAGTCACCTCGCAGACACAGGGCTCAGGCTGCAGAGCCACGGCCTGGCCCCCGAAGGGGGCAAGCAGCACTCACAGCGCCCTCTGCTGTGAGACGAGTGTTCACATGTGAAACACCTCACTGGGTTTGGCCTGGTCATTGGTTCAGTTGGGGTCAGGGGCCAAGGGCAGGGCCCCCTCTGAAAGTGCGCCGTCTCACACTGAGGTGGCATTGAAACAACCCCATCCCCTCCCCCTTCACGGGTCCAGAATGACATCAGCATCTACAGCTTCACCGTGGACTCCAAGGTCTCGTCCAGATTTGCCCACACGGTCGTCACCAGCAGGGTGGTCAACAGGGCCGAAACTGTGCAGGAGGCCACCTTCCAGGTGGAGCTGCCCAAGAGAGCCTTCATCACCAACTTCTCCATGTAGGTGCCTTCCTGCCTTCTCTCCTGTTGCCCTCCTCCAGCCCAGCACCATGGCACCATCCTCCCTGGAGACATCCTGCCAGGAAGAGGAGCCCTCTTCCTGTTGTAAAGTGTGCAGGGATGGATGCCTTAGGTGTGTGTGCTGTGCCTGTAGACGGTACAAGGAACCAGAGGCTTCACCCATGAACTTCATGTGTTCTCAGAGATGTCCCACCCCTCTACCCTTCCCTTCATCCCTCCCTCCCTCCTTCCATTCATCCCTCCTGCCATCCATCCCTCTATCCACCGTCACCAAATGCTGCCCGGTTGACAGATGGAGAAGCACAGCATCTTGGTATCTTTGCCTCTGAAGAGTATAGTGCTGGGGCATCCTGAGGCCAGACGCAGGCAGGAGGGAGTCACAAAGGCAGAGCCAGCTCAGAATACAGAAGCCTTCCTGACTCCCGGGCTGCCCCACAATGGAGCAATGCCTCAAGGAGGGGGATCTCCTTGTCACGGGAAGTTCTAAGCCAGGCTAGTTCCCTCCCTCTTACCTGGGATGCTGCAGAGGGTGTTTCTGCTCTGGGTCAGAGGCTGCACTGGGAGGCCCCTGGGATTTCTGTTTGACTCTGTGGCTCACTGCTGATCCTCACCTTGTCCTCCCCCATCCTTCCTGGGCTGTTTTGCAATGTTTGCCAGATGCATGAAAATCCTCTCCATCTGTCCCTGGCCCCACAGGAGAGGTGGTGATAGAGGGCAGGCCAGAGAGACACTGATCCCAGCAACTCATTAGAGGGTCAGAAAGCAAGCTTCTCTCAGCTGGGGTCCCTAAACTACCCTGAGACCTCTGAAAAAGTGCAGAGGGGCCTGGGTCCTTGTGGTTGGCTCCTTCCTCACTCCCTACCACCCCCTTCAGCATACCCTGCTTCTCCTCACCCTGCAGCCAGGGCCTGTGCTGCCCAACTTGCAGTGTGAGCACTGCAGGGTATACCCAGCCTCCCACATGGGTGCCAAGGCCAGTAGGTGGCCAGGTTCCGGGCACAATGCATGTGCTGAGAGCCCAGGGCCAGCACCCCTCTCTGGGTCCAGATGGTGTTGTTGAGGGAGATAAGGAAGTGGAGGCAGGGTGCTCTGCTCTCTGACCTGGCAGGGTGCCCCAGCTGGGCGTCTGGGAGGAGGAGCCCCATCTCTGGCCCACAGTTCAATTATAACCAGGAAGGTCAGGAAGGTGAGGAGGAGAGACACTGGGTCCTAATGCCTTGGCTGCACCTCCCTGCCCACCCCTGCTCACTCTCACTCGTTCATGCCACTTCCAGTGGGACAGGCGTGTATGCTCGCTGACATCCCTACTCACCTCACAAGGAGGATCTGGAGCAGTTCTTTTCCTTCCAGAGGAAAAGCCCCGGCAGTTCTTTCTAACCCCAAAGAACAGCCATTAGGATTGTGTCTACAGCCCGGGAGACCCGTCCACCAGTTGTCCAAAGCCTATTCCTCCAGAGGCCAAGCTCTGTGCAGAGTGCCCTGGCCGTGCCGGCGGGAAGAGGGGGCAGCTGCAGGGGAGAGGGATCCAAGCCTTTCAGACCCGAGTTTCCTGCTGGCCTGGGAGCCCAGCACCCCACCACCCCTGCTCCTCCACCTGCCCCACACAGCTGCACACAAGGCTGGGCGCACGTCGCCCCGGCAAGCGCTTGCTGGTGACTGACCCGTTCCTCTGGGAGCGAGCTGACGGAGCGGGCAAGCTGGAGTGTGGGGCCCGACCGCCGGGGCGGAGGCCAGGGCTTACCCCGTCCTGTGTCCTCTGCGGCCTTCCTCCCCCGTCTGTTCAGTGAGTGGGTGTCTACCAGCCTGCGCACGCCTCAGGGTAGGGGAAGCCTGGCATAGCTTGCAGAGGCCCACCAGCCTTCAGCCGGGGCCCTGCACGGAGCCTGGCCTACAGTAAGTACCTTCCAGGGACGGGCTCCGGCAAAGACAGGAGTTAGTCTGTTGAGAGGCGCAGCGAGTCCGGAGAGGCTCCGTGGAGGGGATGGGATTGGAGTGGGCTGCCCCCATCAGACCCTCCACAACTGCCGCCCTCCTGCCCCAGGATCATCGAAGGTGTGACCTACCCAGGGAACATCAAGGAGAAGGCTGCGGCCCAGGAGCAGTACAGTGCAGCTGTGGCCAGGGGAGAGAGTGCTGGCCTTGTCAAGTGAGCCACGGAGGGGGTGGGAGGGAGCCCCACTGCGGGGGTGGAGGCTGCCCTGCCTTCAGCCTCCAGCGGCCATGCCCTGCCTGGCCTGGAGGGACAGACCTGATGCTCCCCTCCCCCAGGGCCACTGGAAGAAAGACGGAGCAGTTCCAGGTGTCGGTCAACGTGGCTCCAGCTGCCAAGGTCACCTTCGAGCTGGTGTATGAAGAGCTGCTCAAGCGGCAATTGGGAGTGTATGAGCTGCTGCTGAAAGTCCAGCCCCAGCAGCTGGTCAAGCACCTGCAGGTACTGCCTCCTCCTGGAAGGCCTCCAGGAAGACACCTGCTCTGCTGGGAGCAGCCCCTCCTTCCCCCTCTGCCTCCTGTGAGGCCCACAGCCCCAGCTCCCAGCCGACCCAGCGCCTCCCTTCTTGCCTCCAGATGGACATTCACATCTTCGAGCCTCAGGGCATCAGCTTCCTGGAGACCGAGAGCACCTTCATGACCAGCGAACTGGCGAATGCCCTCACCATCTCGCAGAACAAGACCAAGGTAGGCTGCCACCGTCGGCGGGCAGTGGTCCCGAGAAGCCTGTTGTCGGGCCAGCCTTAGGAGTCTGTCCAGAGAGTGGGACAGTGAGCAGAATGTCTGAGCTGGAGGGACTTTGGAGGGCTGTGTCCGTGCTGCCACTTGGCAGAGCTGGAGGATGAGGCCTGGTGGGTGCTGGTGTGAAGCCTGAGATGGACAGAAGGCAGGAGCCTGAGGGAGGGCCCCAGGGTGGGGAGGGCAGCCAGCTGGATCCTGCACATCTTGAGCCCAGATGGGGATGAGGATGACCATGGGGCTCCTCCCAACTCTGGCCCATCCCTCCCCAGGCTCACATCCAATTCAAGCCGCAAAAGACAGCGGGACAGCTGGACAAAGTCCTGGGTGGCAACTTCATTGTCCGCTATGACGTGAACCGGACCCTCTCTGGAGGCTCCATTCAGGTGTGTGGGCTCTAAGGCGAGAGTAGGGCAACCAGAAAATCCATCCGTGCTCAAAGGCCTGACGTTGCATGTTCTAGAAGGAAAGGCAAAATAACTGCCCCTATGTATCAGTGTGAACCAGTAGCATCATAGACTGAAAACAAGTAATTTTGTTAAGTGGTCCTGAATCAATTTTTTTTTGGAGGCACAGAAGTTTCACCTCTGCCAAAGAGATGCCTGCACAATTTCCCTTATTGTCTTGGCTGCCAGGAGGCTCATAGTTCAGTTTTACGCTCAATGGCAGTAGCTTCTTTCACATAAGTTTCTGGCATCATTAGGCTTTACCTTTACACTTTTGATGGACCTTGTTTTTAAAGTTTTTATTCTTTTGGTGGATCTCAGGTTTATTACATCTGAACTTTTTAGGGTAAGTTGCCTCAAATGCTAAAACAAATAGGGGTAAAGTGGAGTAAAGTTCTAGTGGGCCATACATGAGCAGGGAAGGCAAGAGAGGGGATGGACTGAGCTGTAGAAGATGGTGAGGATTTGGGGAGGTCAACAGTGGGTCAGAGTCAAAGGGGGCTGCGTGAAGAGAGGAATCCAAGGATTAGGGTGAGAAGGCTGGTCTGGGGCAGGGCAGGGCTGCCCCTCTTACTACCTGGGTTTATTTCACTCTGATCACAGATCGAGAATGGCTACTTTGTGCACTACTTTGCTCCCGAGGGCCTGCCCACAATACCCAAGAATGTGATCTTTGTCATTGACAAAAGCGGCTCCATGAGTGGCAGGAAGATCCAGCAGGTGAGTCCCACTAGCCAAGGGCATGGCCCTGGGAACTCGCACATGCCTCGCACCCTTGGCTCTGGTCCAGTAGGCAGACTCTCCCTCCCCCATCTTCCTGGGGAGGGGGCACTCAGAGAGTGAGATTGGTCAGAGTGTGGGCAGGGCTTGCCCCCCGAGCAGGGACCATGGGAGCCCGGGAATGCCAGCCCAAGTCCCAGGAGCCCCAGGGAGGCCCTACTCACACACCCACTCTGTCTCCCACCCTCCTATCCAGACCCGAGAAGCCTTAATCAAGATCCTGGATGACCTCAAGCCCAACGACCAGTTCAATCTCATCAGCTTCAGTGGGGATGTGACTCACTGGAAGCCACTGCTGGTGCCAGCCTCGCCTGAGAACGTGGGCCAGGCCAAGAGATATGCTGCCAACATCGAGGCCCAAGGAGGTCAGCACCTCCGTAGTCCTGCAGCATGGGTGCTTCCGGGGCAGTGAGCCCAGCCTGGGGAGCTGGGCTGGAAGCCACCCTGAGAATATGTGCCCCCACCCCCCCAGGGACCAACATCAACAATGCAATGCTGACGGCCGTGCGGCTGCTGCAGAGTGCCAACCAGAAGGAGCTACTGTCAGATGGGAGTGTCTCCCTTATTATCCTGCTCACCGATGGTGACCCCACCGTGGGTGAGGACACTGCTAGCAACCCCGGAGCACACCGCCCGGGGTGGGTCGCTGGGGTTCTCGCCCAGCTTGCATGGGACCTGAGGTGGGGGTGGTTATCTGAGGCCCCTCTGGCTGTGAGATTCCAGAAATGTCATTGAACAAATCACTGTTTTCTCACTTCCCCTTCCCACACTGCTGGGTCCAGGGGAGACCAGCCCTGCAAGGATCCAGAAGAACGTGCAGAAAGCTATAGATGGTCAGTACAGCCTTTTCTGCCTGGGCTTTGGCTTCGATGTCAGCTATGTCTTCCTGGAAAAGCTGGCACTGGACAACGGTGGCCTGGCTCGGCGTATCTATGAGGACTCGGACTCTGCCCTGCAGCTCCAGGTGCCAGAGCACCCCTGGCGGGCTGCATGGGTGAGGAGGGCAGACCCCGCCCGGCGCTCCTGACACCCCCAACCTTGCAGGACTTCTACCAGGAAGTGGCCAACCCATTGCTGACAGCGGTGAACTTTGAGTACCCAGACAATGCTGTGGACAAGGTCTCACAGGACAATTTCCGGCTCCTCTTCAAAGGCTCTGAGATCGTCGTGGTCGGGAAGCTCCGGGACCAGAGCCCTGATGTGCTCTCAGCCAAAGTCAGAGGGCAGCTGGTGAGGGTGGCCGCCATCCTGCAAGGGAAGGGTAGCCGGGGCCGGCGGGCCGAGGGCTGGGTCTAGAGCGCAGCCCTGCAGGGCTCCAGTTGACCTCATGCAAGTCACAGTGCTCCCTGCCACTTAGAGATGACAGTCGTCAGTCTGCACTGTTACTGGGCCTGAGGACACTAGTGCCTGGCACTCCCTCCTGTCCTCACACTGGCCCTCCGAGGCTGTGGTTGGGCAGGGAGGCCTGTTCCCGTTTCACAGATGAGTGGGCTGAGACCCAGGCAGGGCAGGCAACTTGCCTTGGGCCCCCCGCAGCGGGGGCAGGAGCCTGGCTCCCCGGGTGATGCGCCGTCCCTGCTCAGCCCTCCTTGCCTCTGTGCCACAGGAGGCCCTCTCATTGCACAGACAGAAACAGCACCTGCTCGGTGCCAGGTCCTTCTCTAGGCCCTGGGGTACGATCCTCACAGGAGAGACGGTGCGGGTAAATCATCACACGAACAAGGAGCTGCAGGCTGCGATGGCCGTGACTGATAAGCCTGGGGACTTGGGGGGCAGCCCTGGGAACCCAGACCTGGTCTGGGAATCGGGGAGGGCTACCTGGAGGAGGCCCAGCTGAGATCGAAGGATGATGAGGAGGTGATAGAGGCCAGATGGTGGGGTGACAGAGGAACGTTCTGGGCTTGCACGGCCAGCAGGCAGTGTGTGTGGGAAGAACAGCGGGTGGGTGAGTCTGAGGGGCCTGGGGGGCGCGGGGCCCCACCTCAGAGGAAGTAGCAAGCCGTGTGGCCAGCCTACTGGATTCAGGCCTAGCCGCTACCTCCCAGAGGTGAGGCCTGGGGCAGATCACTTAACCTCCCTGTGCCTCAATCTCCTCTTGTGTAAACATCAGAATAGGTCACCCTACCCACCTTGTAAGGCTGCTGTGGGGATTAACGTCTGGCCCCATGTAAACACTCCATTCACGTTAGCTGCTAATATGAACCTGAAGGCCAGGGGTTCCCCAAGTGCAGAACTCAAGGTGACTCAGGTGGTTTACACAGACGTCTTTGTTTTAGTAGTTGCGTATTTATTTTAATATGTCTCCTGAAAAATAGAACTTGAACACCAGACCTAAGATTTTACAGGTATGATTGCTCGGGACAAGGCCAGGTAAATCGTATTCATCTATTTAAAGTTCGTTTAAGGAAAACCGTCAAATCGCTGCATGTGTTGACAGGGCAAAATTCGTGCAGGTGGCCTGCATGTGTCAGTTTTGGGAGACCAGGCTCTGGGTGAGACAGAGGAGGTGGCTCCAGCAGGGGTAGTGGGATCTGATCCATAATAAGGTCTTCGGCTGCTCTGGGGAGCGGTGGTGAGAGAGGGCAGGGTTCCTCTGTCCCCAGACCCCACTTCCCAGACTGCGGGCTGGGCAGCCCAAGACCAGAAGGCGCCTCCCTGGGGAAGGAAGCAGCAGTCCCCCCAGAGCTTGGCACCATCCCACAGAGCCCAGCCCCAGCAGAGGGCACCGGCTTGGGCAGGGGGCAGCTGGTTGGGGCGGGTGGGGCCTCAAGCCCTATCAGGGCCGTTGATACCTGCGTTCTCTTCTAACTCCGCCGCTGACTGCAGGAGGAGGCTCTTCCCTCTTTGTCCCCAGGGTGTCTGTTTTTGGGATGAGCATGGAATGCATCTGGGCCCCCTTTCTGCCTCCATACTGCACTTGCACTTCCTTCCTGCTGTTTCTACACTGGCCAGGGGGTCAGATCCCATTCTTATTTCCCTTTCTCTGGAAAGGCCAGTCTGCCCTGAGCTCCCGGCTGTGACTGCCATGTTGCCCTTGGAGAGTTTGCTGCCTTTTATCCCACATTCTTCCCATCTTGGGGGGCTCTGTGGCTGAGCCTCTCATGCCCCAGACTCCCCCCCCCCCCCCAGCCCCAGCCTACTCCAAGGAAATGCGGTCCTCGCAACCAGCGCATGGAAGCTGTCCCAGTCCAAGCAAGTTTCTGTGGGAGCGCTCGGGAATGGCAGGTCCTCACTACTCCTGCCCGGGCTGGGCCCCTCTTTTCAGCATATGCAGAACATCACCTTCCAAACGGAGTCCAGTGTTGCAGAGCAGGAGAAGGAGTTCCAGAGCCCCAAGTACATCTTCCACAGCTTCATGGAGAGACTCTGGGCATACCTGACCATCCAGCAACTGCTAGAGCAAATGTGGGTAGCCCACACCCTCGAGGGCCTGCCAGGGCAGCCACACACAGCCTGAGCACCTTCCCAAGCTTTCCTGGGGAGGGGGCGGCGGTGGGGGCAGCTGGCATGGGGTATCTCCCAGGCAACATGTGTGAGGTTCAGACTTTCCCAGTGGGAACCTTCCAGAAGGTTCTGGAAGGGAGGGAGGACCTGACTAGGCATCCAGGGAGGACCTGCTGAGCCTCTGATGCCTTCAACCTACAGGGTTTCAGCATCCGGTGCTGAGAAGCAGGCCCTTGAGACACGAGCTCTGAACTTGTCACTCAGCTACAGTTTTGTCACTCCCCTCACATCCATGGTGGTCACCAAACCTGAAGGTGAACAACGGTCTGAAGTTGCTGAGAAGCCTGTGGAAACAAGTAGGTATTAAGAGTAGGACCCCAACCTCTTGGGAAAACCAATTGTTTTTTTTGTTTTTGTTTTTTTTTTAGATTTTGTTTATTCATTTGAGGCACAGAGAGAGGCAGGAGAGAGAGAGAGAGAGGCAGAGGTAGAGGGAGGAGAAGCAGGCTCCATGCAAGGAACCCAATGTGGGACTCGATCCCAGGATTTCGGGAGCACACCCTGAGCCAAAGGCAGATGCTCAACCACTGAGGCACCCAGGCATCCCGGCAACCCAGTTTTGATCCAGTGTTCTCCAGAGCCTCGCCTCCTTCCCTGGCCATATCCCAACCTAGACTCGGACCCTAATCTCCCAGGAGCACCAGGACACTCATCCCATTTCACTGATGAGGAAGCTGAGACCAGGGCTCCTGACCTGAGTTCACCGCACCTAGTCAGTGCTGGGGCTGAGAAGCAAGGTTAAACAGAAGTACTTTACATTTATTGAAATCACTCCAACAGTGTATTTGCTTTTCTTTCTTTTTGCTTTATCCAGGAAACAAACACAAGAACTTTCATACCAGTAAGAGCCTAATTCCCTCAAAGGCTGGGCTGGGGGATGGTTGGCTGACACAGGGCCTAAGGCACCGGCCCCTGAAGTTGCTGGCCAGGGCCTCTCCAGCCCAGCCCTGCTGCCAGGAGGGGGCATCGTCTACACTCAGGTCCTGTCCTGGGTGCTTAGGAACACAATCCCTGTTCAGCTGGGGATCCCAGAAAGGTATATCCAAGAAACAAATCCGCATTCCTCTGATTTCCAGGTCATCATTCTTTCTCTAGATTTCCTCCTGTGGGAGACACGATGCACAGAAAAACAGGTGACAAAGGAGGAAAGGGATGGGGGTGGGGGTAGATTGACAGGACCTTGACCCCAGTCACATACAAGACTCTGCCCTGAATGTTGGGAGAGTGATTTGCCTGGTTCTCTAGGCTGGTTGGCAGGGCTGGGACTCAAGTCTAGTTATATCTGATTAGGAGGCATCTATGCAGACTCTGTCCTCACTGAAAGAAGAGGCTATAGAGGACAAGGTACTTTGACTTGGGGGCTGGAGGGCGGGGGCTTATGTCCCAGTGGCAGGGGGTGCGGGAATTCAAGAAGGGTCCATTGTTCCCACTTTGAATTTTTCCTGGCCATGGAGGGAAAGGCTCCCAGAATGATGAGTGTAGGGAGGGGAGCCATGTGCCCTCTCTACATCCCTCTCCTGGACTGGGCCCCAGAGCCCCGGTTTTGGGGACCCATGACACTACTTGAGAGAAGACTGCATGTATCAACTTTTCCAAAGCTGGACCTTCCAGGAGGATACCCAGTGACCCATGGAGAGACGGACTCCGAGGACCTCCTAATGCTCCTCTTTATCCACTCTACCTTACGCCTCGGGAACCAGACATGATGTTGGGTAAGCCGCTTTCTGACCCTCTGAGGGTCTACTTTCCTCAAGATGATCATTTAACAGGGCCATAGAGTTGGAGACGTAAAGCACAAAGCACAGAGCTGGACACAAACCAGGGAGAGTCGCTGTGGGGCCTGACATGACATATCGTGCCTTTATTTTCACTGAATTGGATTTATTACACTCTGGAGGCTGGCTCAGGATGGAACCTTCTAGAAAGGGAAGGCTTCCTCCATTTCCAAAGCTAACCGTGAACCCTTGAGCTGTTTCTGATTTCCAAATCTGGACTCAGAAACAGTGCAGAGCAAGGCAAGACCCTGTGTCCCCTCCATCTTCCCTTATAGCATGTGCTTCTGTTTGCAAATCTCATTACAGAGACTCTTCTAGTGTGGCAGGGGTTGCGGGGCTGGGTGGGTGGCGTGCTCATTGCTCTCAATCCTCATTGTCCCCTTCCTTTCTGTTTCTGGCTGTCCCTGCACTAATGCCTGCTTTGGTGCCACCAGCCCCCTCCATTCCTGGTGAAGTGCTTCAAGGTGAGGATTTAAGAGCCAGAGATGTCGCCCCAGCCAGAGCTCCTGCAGTAGCTTCTGACCCTGTAACAGGGCGACTCTGGGAGAAGAAAGCTTCGGGGAACTCTACAGACTTGTCACGTGGGTTTCCCAGTGTTGAAGTTGAGAGAACCCTGGCCACACGCATCCGGGTCTCTATCTTTCAGCATCCCCCCCCCCACCCCGGGGAAGGGGCTCCCTTAACCTCGACTTCTTCTTCTTTCAGAACGAGCCAAGGCAACCTCATCTCCAGGTAAGTTGCCAGCTTCCCTCAACGCCCCCTCCTTGTCCTTGCCTCCTAGCCCAACCTACCTGCCTTAGGAAGCACACCTGTTGTCCCAGCCCTCATCCAGGCGCCTCCAGTCATTCTGATGCTGCCTGGACAGAGTGTGAACCGCCTCTGTGTGGACATCAAGCACTCTCAGGGGCCAATGAAGCTGCTCTCAGACCCTGACCAAGGTGAGAGGTGCATGTCCGGTCATTCCCCCAGAGAGTCCCAGACACCACTCACGCCCAACTTACTACCCTAGAGACAATGATGGGACATCTGCCCATGGAGACACACCTTGCCCTGTGCAGGCCTGTCCCAGATCCTGACATGGCCACTCCCCTGAGCACCGACACTGGCACTCATACATCCACCCTGCAGACTCCTCCCTGAGCATGACACGTCTGCAGGGCTGGGTAGCCTGGGCACTCTGAGGTGACCAGACGTGGACTTGCCCCCAGCACTGCCATACTTTGGGAGTGGGGAGACAGACTTGGGCATAGGCGAGCTCAGTGGTTTATAGTCAGTGCCTAGAGCGACATGGAAGCAAACCCAGAGGAGGAGACAAGAGCTGTCTGGGGGACAGGAGGGGCTGCACTGGGTCATATAGGAATGATTGGGCCTTGGCAGACAAGTAGGGACCCACTGGGTGGAGGAGGGGAAGGCAGAAGTAGAGCCCTAGAAGGTGCTGGAGGAGGGTGTGGAGGCGGCAAATGGTGAGGAGGTAGGTGTGTGCTGGCCAAGCCTGCACCCCCGGCCCCTAGAAAGGTCTTACTGGTTGAACTGAGCGTCAGGTCAGATGCAAGGAGGCACAGCGCTCAGGGATGCTCACACACACCTGCAGAGCCAGCCAGAATCAATGAGCATCTATGGCTCCCTCGCTGCTCCCAGGTCCCCACAGTCTGTCACTCATCCCGCCCAGCCCATAGTCTGTTTGCTCACAGAGGAGGGGGGATATCACCCCTCTTCATCTTGGTCTTGGCTGTAGCACCTCATCAGGCCAAGCACACCAGAGGCTTTACGCACGTTCGTCGATTTCAGACACGATCTCCCTTTTCAGAGGGCTCGTCCGAAGGTGGTCATCACTGAGGATTCGGGGGTGCTTCCACAGCCATCTGAAACCAAGGGAGGAGGGGAGAGGTCGTGGGAGCCAGCTCCCAGTGTGAGGGAGTGTTGGGGAAAGGGAACCGAAGAGGTCAGCTGGTGAGAAGGGGTCTGAGCGGATCTCGGTTCAGGCCAGTGCCCAGCTGGGGCCACGGCTTTGACCTCTCTGCTCCGGGCCTGCTCAGGGATTGAGGTGACCGGCCAGTATGAGACAGAGAAGGCCCAGTTCTCATGGATCGAGGTGACCCTCAAGAACCTCCAGCTGCAGGTCCGCGCCTCCCCTGAGCACGTGGTAGTGACTCAGAACCGAAGAAACTCTGCCTACAAGTGGAAGGAAATGCTGTTCTCCATGATGCCTGGGTATGCCCCTGTCTGGGGCCCCTTGAGTCCCCCACCGCAGGCTGGGTACCTCTCTGGCCACATCAGTTAGCTGGTGACAGTGCAGACAGGTGACCTGAGCCCACGGACCTGGGAATGAAGTGGCTGGGCAGGAGTTTTCTGCAGTGGGCTGCGCCTGCAGTAGGAGCAGAGATGCAGAGAGCCCTGCACCATACCCTCCTGCTCGGAAGGGTACTGAGCCGTTATGCTAGGACCTGGCTGCCCTCATACCTAACCTAGGTCACTGTCCCACGTGGGGCACAGCGTGGTTTAGAGCTAGCTCTCCCATTAATCCTGTGTGACCCTGGGCAGGCTGCTTAGCCCCTCTGAGCCTATTTCCTCACTTATCACCTGAAATAATCACCTGGCTCTGAGTCAGAGGGCTGAGCAGAAGATCCAATGAGAGGATGCGGTCTGGGTGTACTTTGCCCATTAGACAGCGTGCTACCCACTGGGCATGGTGGAGGGCAATGCTGTCAATGTGGTGAAGTAATGACAATAATGAGAAGCTGGAGAGCACTGCCCCCTGCGGAAGGTTATGAATGTCATCCTTAGCATACTCCTGGAGCCCTGATGAGGGACGACAAGTCCATCTGGCATCAAATACTGGGCAGCTGGTGGATAATGCAGGAGGACTGTGACCTTTTCTGGGTGGGGCTGCCCCACCATAGGGCCTTCCAGAGGCAACTGTCCAGCTTTGGAGGTCACAAGAGGCCTGGGAGTGGGGCTGAGGACCCTGTCCCTCTTTGAGCAGTACCCTGCAGTCCCATGGCCTGCACCGAATACAGAGAGCCTTGTCCTCTGCCCTCCAGAGATGGGTTGCCACTTGAGAAATGAGTGCATGCCTGGAAAAATCCAAGGGCTTAACCTGAAAATCGCCCAGTTTCATAAGAGTGCTTAAAGTTTAATATTATCTGATAAATGCACAAAGAATGACAGTCTTTCTGTGCCCCGGACATGAACACTACAAAATAGAATAAAGGGACACCTGGGTGGCTCAGTGGTTGAGCATCTACCTTGGCCTGGGGTGTGATCCGAAATCCGGGATCGAGTCCCGCATCGGGCTCCCTGCATGGAGCCTGCTTCTCCCTCTGCCTGTGTCTCTGCCTTTCTCTCTTTCTGTGTCTCTCACTAACAAATAAATAAGATCTTTAAAAAAAAATCGAAGGTAGAATAAAGAATTCCTATCACTTGCAGCAAGAGAAAGTCCGAATATTTTCATGAGCTATGGAAGATACACATAAGGGAAAACAGACCACGTCTTGTACATTAAATCAAGACAGTGCAAGTTTAGAGCAATTCCATTGAGAATAAACTCAGTGTAGGGGTGTCTGGGTGGCTCAGTCGGTTGAGGGTCTCCCTTCAGCTCCGGTCATGATCCCAGGGTCCTGGGATCAAGTCCCACATCAGGCACCCTGCCTAGTGGGGAGTCTGCTTCTCCCTCTTCCTCTGCCCTTCCCCCTGCTTGTGCTGGCTCTCTCTCTCTCTCTCTCTCTCTCTCTCTCAAATAAATAAATGAAATCTTTAAAAAAAAACTCAGAGTAACAGCAGGGGTCTATTCAACATGCTTAAAAGAGCCTGACATTCCTAAGAAAACCAAAAAGGTAAGAATTTCAAAGATTATCTTAAGTTAAAAAGGACAGGATAGAATGAAAAGGGACTTGCTCTTCTAGATGTAAATAACAATAATCATCAGAAGAAAGCGGCACTGGCCATAAACACAAAAGGGACAGAGTAAATGTGTCAGAGAACTGCCTAAATCATATAAGAGGAATTTATGGAGAAACCAAATCTAAGAAGACCAGGGAGGGAAAGGAAGCACTGTCTCATTTTACAAGGAATGCGCCAGATCTCACTAAGTTAACGTCGTCATCCCAGTTTCCCAATGAGGGGATCGGGCCTGAGGCCGCAGCAGGAAGGCCCGAGCCCAGAGGGCAGCCCCCCTCCCCGCTCCCACCCAGACTGCACAGGACACTCGGTTTCCCCGCAGCCTCAATATGACCATGGACAAGACGGGGCTCCTGCTGCTCAGCAGCGCAGACAAAGTGACCGTTGGTCTGCTACCCTGGGACGGCCCTGGAGAGGGGCTCCGGCTCCTTCTGCGGGACACCGACCGCTTCTCCAGCCACGTCAATGGGACCCTTGGTATGCTGCCCGGGGCTCTGGGCATCCTCAGAGGCCACCTCTGCCGGCGAACAGGCGGCGCCCTTCACCTCTGTCTCCCAGGCTCCCTCTGTCTTTATTCCTTGCTGACCAGCCCTTGTCTCTCAGGCCAGTTTTACCAGGACGTGCTCTGGGGGCCCCCAACAGAGGCCGATGACAGCAAGCGAACACTGAGGGTTCAGGGCCGTGATTACTCTGCCACCAGGTGAGCCTGGCCAGGGGTCGGGCCCGAGAGGCTGGGAGCTGGGCTCTGGGGACCCTGAGACTCTCTGTGGTCCCCGTATCGAACCTGAGCTGTCTCTGTCTCTTCCCATCACACCTGAGATTTGCTGACCACCTATCTTTTTGTCTGTCTATCCATCCCAGATTGGTCAAGCTGGATTACCAAGAAGGATCCCCAGGAACAGAGATTTCCTGCTGGTCTGTGGAGCTGTAGTTACGTGGGAGGGGTTAAGCCCACCCCCCATGCCACATGACTATGACCAGAGGGCCACCAGTGGGGCCTGGGCTGGGACGGGGAACAATATTTTAACTCATTACAAATAAAGAAAGGTGCTGTAATCCCAGGCAGTGGGCATCTCTGGTTGCATCTGGCTAAATCCCACATTAGAATTAGAATCTTAGAATCTTCCACCGTGACCCCCTCAAGGGCCTGTGACCAGTAAGACCTGTGGAGAACTTTCAGTCCAGTCTTTACAAGTAGAGAAACTTAAAATTTAGAGACATTAAACCACCTATTTAAAATGTTGCTCCAGCCTCCAGCTGTGGGTCTAGGACAGGAGAACATCAAAGGTTTCATGTGCTTTATGGTCACTCAGTCCATGAAAACCAGTTTTGACTTAAAAAAAAAAAAAAAGAGGAAGCGTGAACTGGGTAGAGGTTCTTATTAGAAATAAATGTCCTCAGGTGGGCACAAACTGGGCAGACATTCTTTAGAGGCCAACTCCCCTGAGGTTCTCAGCAAGCTCCTGGGCCCCTTGGCCATGGGATTTGCATGACACAGTTTGATTCTCACACCTGTACTCAGGGCCAGGCCTGTCTGCTCATTGCCTTGTCAAGAGGCTAGTACTGAAACAGAAGATACAGAGGGGAGGCCCCGGGCCCAGGAAGGAAGCCAGCGTCTGTCCCCAGGAGCCTCTAAGCCCATGGACGCACTCCCAGATCCTGGGCTGCTAGGGGTCTGCTCTCCCATCCCATCCGGGCCCTGGGTTTAGGCACCCCAAAGATTCCAGCCAACTCCTGCATAGCCAAAGCATATTAAAAAACACACACACACACACACACACCTTTATAGTTAATCTACACCTATTTTAAAAATGACACATGTCTTTGGCTTACAAATAAAAAGCATAAAGAAAACAAAGCAAAAACCAAGAGAATGAGATCGAAGAGAAAAGGCAAGCAGGGGAAGACTGAGCTCAGAGGCACCAGGCAGGGCAAGGAGCCTCAGCACAGAGCTGCGTCCCCCACATCCTGGCAGCCAGGAGAAGGCAAGAAATGAGCTCGTCAGCTCGCTCTCATGGAGCAAACTTGATCACCAGAGAAAAACATTCTTTCTCTGCTCCAGAGCTTTACAGAATGTTTGCAGAGTGACTCTTTCTAGAAGGGGCAGAGGAGAGGCCAGCGGGAGGGATCTCTAGCAGCAGGTTTGCCAAACACACGGGACCACTGTGCCACCCTGCCCCTCTCCATCAAGCCTGGTCGGCAGGCGGGGGTCACAGGCTGAGTCCCCTGTGAAGGCTGCTGGGAGGGGCTCAGACCTGAGCACCGTGAGGCAAGGGAGCAGCCTCGTGGGCTCTGTCAGACTTGCCGTGGGTCTGGCTCTAACATAGCGCGATGAGATGAGTGCCTACCCCAAATTCACCCCTGCGGGGACCTGCAAGCTGGCTGTGGAATTGGAGCCGTAGCAGAGGGGTGATGGGTCACCATCTGGCCCAGCAGCACTTGCAGGGCAGGTGTTCTCTGTGAAGACAGTAGCTGCATGCCCTTCACTGTCTTGTTCACTGAGTGCCTTCCAGCACCTAGGCCAGGCCCTAGGCTGAGTGCTGCAGGTACACTGGGTACCCTGGGAAGCACGGTGCCTATTGTTGGGACAGCTGCCACCCAGAGAACACCCTGGGTTGTTCCACCCAGAGAACAACCTGATGCCAAGAAGAGACGGGGGGCGGGGGAGGGGGGCGGTTGGGACATTTTGCCCGACCTGGGTAATGTCAGGGAAGGCTACCTGGAAGTGGTGTGGTTGGGGTGGAATTTTGAAGAATGAGGAGAAGTTAGCCCAGTGGAAACAGAGGGCAGGGACAGCAGGCCTAGAGCCAGAGCACGGTGCCCTGAATTCAGAGGCGAGGGAAAGCTGTGCCGTGAGGTGCAGGTGGTGAAGCAGGGCCAGGCCGGCCCGGGCTGTGCACCCCTTGCCATGGAGCCTGCCTTTGAGCCTGGAGGCTGGGGGAGGCATCAGAGGCTACAAGCAGGGGCAGACATAGCCAGGATGATGTGGGACTGGGGAGAGGACAGGGCCCACCCAGTTTTTGCCTGCATGGAGGGCCTCCCTAACACAACCATGCATTGGTATTGGGGGAAAGGGGCAGAATTTTGTCTGGGGCCCTCCTCCTGCCTTTCTCCCAACTCACTGGGCATGGCGGCAAGCTGGAGGGCCAAGGCAAAGATGCTTCGGGGGACCAGAAACCATAATGATGAGGTGTCTTTACACCATCTGGCAAGATCTTCCTCCCCATTTTATAGATGTGAAAACTGCCTGGTTTAAAGTCCCACTTCCTCAGCACGGGGCTGGATGGGCTGCAGGGCCTGACCACTTATGTTTTCCCCCAGACGGGCCTCCCCAGCAGCCCCAGGCCCTGGGAAACCCTGGCTCAGGCAGTTGGGCCCCTGGAGTGGGAGGAGGGGAACTTCCCAGTGACCCATCGCCAGATCCCACACCCGCGCCCACTGGCAGGAGTGGCCATTCCCAATCTAACCCCCACCTCTCCCAGGAGAGGGATGGCCCTGCCCTGGCATAAGCAGAGCTGCCTCTGCTTCCTGCTGGGGGTGCCCTCTGCACAGCACGCCCATAGCCCCTCATAGCTCCTCAGGCAGAGAGGACAGCAGAGGCAGAGGATCTGGGGCATGAGGGATTAGGTTTGCAGAACCGGAAGCAGTCTGTGTGTCCGGAACTCTGGAAGTGAGGGGAAACACCTGGTGTGTGGGGCTGGTGAAGCTCGAGAGGCCACAGGTAGGACTCAGGCCTTTGTCCCAACATCAGTGGGAGGCAGGTGTTGTTTATAGGGTTTTAGGCAGGGATCAGTGGTCAGTTCTGCTCTACATAACCCTTCTGTGGCAGCAGGGAGACCCAGGAAGGGATGTTGCAGTTGCCCCGGTGGGAGAGAGCAGTCCAGGCCCAGAGACCTCAGAGCCCCTCCTCTGGGAATCTCTGTCTGACCTCCCAACCCCACCCAGGACTTATTGTGGGGGTAGAGCAGATCACCATGAGTTGTGATGGAAGGATCAAAGGAATTCCCAGACTAGCTCACAGCAAACTTGGGGCACCCAGGCAAAGAGGAACCAGTTACTAAGCTGTGCGCCCCTAGATTCTGGCCCAGAATCAGAACGTTGGTCTATCTGCTAAATGGATGAATGAGGGACACCTGGGTGGCTCAGCAGTTGTACGGTCTGCCTTCAGCTCAGGACATGATCCCAGGGTTCTGAGATCGAGTCCCACATTGGGCTCCTGCATGGAGCCTCCTTCTCCCCCCTCTGCCTGTGTCTCTGCCTCACTCGGTGTCTCTCATGAATAAATAAATGAAATATTTAAAAAAAAAAAAAGGATGGATGGATGGATGGATGATGGATTGGAGGATGGATAGATGTATGGATAGGGGATGGGGGGATAGATGGCTGGTAGATGGGTGAGGGGGTGGCTGGCTAGATAATGGGAAGATGGAGGGATGAATGACATCCACAATGAACTGCAGGATCCGTCTGCTTCCGAGCACTCTCTGCTTCTGCATCATCAAAAGATCTTCAAGGGCCTGTTAGGAGCTACTGAGCCATGACCCCTGACTTTCCTTATGACCCTGCTGGACTCTGGAATGCACTCAACCCTTCTTGACTTCTCAGAGCCCCTTCACACCAGAGTCAATTCTTGGTTTTTCCTTCCCAAACCATCATACATTTGGCTCCCCAACGTGCTACCCCAGCCAACCCCGTCTTTCACCAGTCTCAGTGGAGAGGCCCAGAGAGTTACTGTCGCAGCACCCAGCCCCCGCTTGGAGCCACCTGCCTATTCCCTGGAGCAGGGGTTCACAGAAGCATGCAGAGGCTGGTGGCAGTGTCCCCCTGGGCTTTATTGTCACAGCCCTCCCTTGGATGCCAGGAGAGCTTAGCCGTCCGTTTCCACAGGAGCTGACACGTCTACTCAGAACAGGTCTGGGATGATGTAGTCGCTGTGGACACCATCAATCAGCCCTTGCCCATTGTTGTGGACAAACCAGCAGGCGACCTTAGTGCCAATGTTGACGTCCTTTCTGTAGTCTTTCTGGGAGCCCCTGGGGACAAGGAAAGAGATGCCGTGATACACAAGTGTGGACAAGACGGTTGCTATGCTCATGGACTTAAGGCTGGAAAAGGGTGTGAAGTTGCCAATTCTAAGCATCCAGAACTCTTTGGACAAGAGATCAGATGATTAACTCCTTCTAAAGGGCCAAGCTTGGTGTTTTCCTGATTAAAAGAGGAGTAGAGGGGGGCCAGGACCCCAGAGGGAAATGAGGTAGGTACCACACAGGAGACAAGAGCCTGCCGGGCTGATGTGTGTGGGTCCTCCTGCCTTGTTCCTGGGCAGGGTGAGGATGTCAGAGGAATCCCCTCACCTGGTAACCGTCAGTCGATGGTTCTTCACCACCATCGTGGCATCTGGCTTTGTGGGGTCAGAGCCTGGGTGGATGTCAGACACTTTAAAGTCAAAGGGTTGGAAGAATTGTCCTGGGAACAAGAACATTCATGCTGTCAGCCCCTGCACGCTGGGAGCCCCTGCCACCGCCAGAGGTAGCACAGCCATGGGCCTTCTGTGGTTGATGCAGAGGCTGACTGAGTGCTGTGTGCTGGGTCCCGAGTGACTAGGACGATCTTCCCTGTGGGTTTTCCCCTCTGCCATGTGTCCTGAGCAATCTGAAGCTTGAACATTCAACCCATACCCAGCAGCCCATGGGTCTGTGCTGACATCCGGTGACTGTCCACCACGTAGAAGCCCAGAAAGTCCTGGTGGACAGGGTGCTTCTTCCACACCTGGTGCAGGACAACCACGAAAGTAACCCCATCTCCAAAGGAGATCACCATGTTCTTTTTCCTGTTGATTGTCACAGACAGCCTAGGAGGGAAGAGAAGGTTAGCAGGTAGGACCCAGTGGTGGCCATGATACCGGGCATCTTGGGAGGGCATCCTCCGTACATGGCACCTAGGCGCACATAGATTCTGGAAACTCTCTCAGAGGTGTTGGAGAGAAGATGCCTCGTGCGTGTTGACTATACATTCTACTGAGTGGATCTTTGTTCTCCCGTAAGCAGAAACAGGGC